GAACTCCAGGAATTACATCATGGAGCCAGTCACTAGTGAGCATATGATCATTATCAGAATTGGGTTTCATGGAGATTTTTGTAATTTTATAGATGAGTATATGAGTCACTTGAAGCTAAATAACCATGGAAAACCTGGAAGCACTGAATGGCCGTTTCGTTCTGTAGTGGAACTCATCAACAGTACGCATCTATGATCCTGCCTCATGAGATTCCAACTCAGGATTTATTAGTCTAGCGCGTGAGCGCTTAACCTCTACACCACTGAGCTGGCATCCAACAGTGTTAATGTCTAACTTCAATCAATCCACGAAACTGAGCAACCGACCACCATTATCTTCACCGAGTCATTATCTCACAACAGACTCGGTTGAACTCCACTTGTCACGGCTTCTCACTAGAATTCCAGGAAATACGTATTGAAGCCAGTCATTAATGAGCGTATGAATATTATCGGAACGGGTGGTTTGTGGAGATCTTAGTACTTTTATAGTTGAAGTCGTGAATCAATTGAAGTAGATAGTTTAGAGTATTAATATATATGTCATTTGAAAAATGAACTATTTATTATGATCAATATAGAAAAGTAATCAAGATAAGGTTGAAATTAGGCATTTTTAACATAGTAATGGAAGGATAGTTCCAGAATATTTTTAAAATTGACTGATAACATAATATAATAGAGAAATTGAAAAACAAAGATCAGAAATGAACTCATGGAATTTATGGTTTTTATTGAATGTAGAAGGATGACAAATGATGATAACCTATACTGTTTGAATGTTAACAATATCGTTGAAGGCTATCCGCTAACTGGTTCTAAATACAAATGGTTGTTATTAGAAAGAAAGAAATGTGACTAGCAGTGAAACATAGAATGTGCGTTTCATATTGTTTGGAACTTGTCAGCTGGATTAAAAATACGTTTTAGATTATAGTGCTGGCTTTACTCCACCTATCTATCTATCTATCTATTGTATATCAACTTACGTCACATATTCGAACTGGGACTGATCAAATTTCGGAGAAAAATGTTAACAGTGAGATAGTCCAAACTATTTCAAATTTAAATAGCTTTGTAATCCTTATAGCCTATGTTAATCTTAATATGACTGATTTGTGTTGTATATTCATTATTCACTTCATGTCCCTACCCCCTGTTTCCAGTAAATGGTGTCAAATTGAACCAAAAAAACCACTTTATCTTTTAGAATGTGATTTCTTTAAAATATCTATGGCAAAATATGAAGACACTTTCAAGTACAAAGCTGAAACATTATATTCATACTTGGAAGAAGCCCATGACTAATCTTCTCTTGACTTGAAAAGTAAAGTTATACCACAAACGTAGTAGACAGAAAACTTTGGAACTAGGTTTCGTGCTAGTTATCATTTGTCAGTAAGATGTAACCGTAATCTTGAGTAAAATTAATGATTTCTGTAAGATTAAAATAGACATCATCGAGATTTACGTCTTTGAGTGAACTCTTGTTTTTAACTGATCCAAAGTTTTTTATTGGTTACCCTCAACCATCTAACATATGACTATAGTGAAGCCGATGTCAAGTTGTGGTGTTGTCTACTTATATCCATATAAGTAGTATATGGCGTGGGTCAGACATAGAATGTATTTTCGCAGAAGACCGATGAGCAAAGAACTGAAATGAAGCGCAATCGTTTGCAAAATGCATGAGCAATGGAATTAGAGAAGAAACAGTGAAGATTGAAACAATTGGTTATTAATTTGCAAATTGACTGTTCATTGTTTGGTTATCAGAATTTACCGAGATAGTCTGTAATGTTTGCTTAAATACATTCGATTGTCCCCAACCAGTCGTGTTCTGTTCATTACATTTGGTGTCGCTGCCAACCAGGAGGAGGAAGAGTGCTGTTCTGCGGACGCCGCTGCGGGTCTGGAGTGGAGGTGCTAGTTGGGGCAGTCTGGTGAGGAGAGGTGGCGTCGAGTGGAGTGTTCTGGCGGGGCGGCGTTGGCTGTAGCGGGTGCTGTCGACGGAGAGGAGCAGTGGGACGTGCGGCTGCTGGGCGGACATCGGATGTAGATGGCTCAGCAGGCCGGTGGAGTACGGGTGTTGAACGTCCCAGGTGCCGGGTGGATGCGGATGTTGGTGCCCCGGCAGGTCGACGGAGCTATGGAGGTCAGCGCGCCGCAGACTCAACATTCTGACGGAGAGTTTGGCACAGACTGCAGTGGAAGAAGATAGCGGCGTGGCGAGCAGAACCACCGCATGAACGAATGCTTTAAAGGGGGGACGAGTGTGGTGTTGTCTACTTATATCCATATAAGTAGTATATGGCGTGGGTCAGACATAGAATGTATTTTCGCAGAAGACCGATGAGCAAAGAACTGAAATGAAGCGCAATCGTTTGCAAAATGCATGAGCAATGGAATTAGAGAAGAAACAGTGAAGATTGAAACAATTGGTTATTAATTTGCAAATTGACTGTTCATTGTTTGGTTATCAGAATTTACCGAGATAGTCTGTAATGTTTGCTTAAATACATTCGATTGTCCCCAACTAGTGTTCTGTTCACAACAAAGTCACTAAGTATAGTGCTCAAGTTGTATCTTCACTCATTGATTTTGAATAACGCTAAGGACTGTGAAACCATTATATCGGTCACTTTTAAGCAATCAATTATTTGTGTATGGTATGTGAATAGATTAGAAAATTGAAACTTTTCACTTCAGAAAATTAGTATTTCATAGTAGATTAATTTTTCTTCGACCAAGTTATTGCTTTTGACATAATATTAACAATAATTAGATCTTACGAAATTGTATGGTTTACAGATTGAATGATTTCTAATACATGATGAATTTACTCAGTGCTGAAAGATACTCAGTTCCTGATGGAGTTTTGTTCTCTGAGCTGGATGGTTTGGTCGTGGAGTTTTCATCGTCCTTCTGAACGACATCATCAACACAAACTTCGGGTAGAAGTGAAGTGTTTGAATTTCTCTACATCTAGTACACAGCTTGTTCTGTACACCTCGATGTTGATTGATTATTTTTGACCTTAAATCTATCATTGTTTATTTCTTTGTTTTGGTTGTATCTCCCATTGGTTTGACTTTTGTTCTTATAGTTCTGCATAACTTTTCTGATTGGTTGATAAATTGAATTGATTTCAATGTGCTTGTTTATTGCTGATTAATCTGAGTTCCAAGCTTCTACCCGTAGTTTGGGTTGATGATGTCGTTCAGAAAGGCGATGAAAGCTCCACGACCAAACCATCCAGCTCAAAGAAGAAAACTCCATCAAAATCATCTACCTAGGCCACAAATCTTCTCCACTATACTCAGTTTCTTCTATTCAGTATAAATCAACGATCAACTTTTATTTTGTCTTTGCAAACATATACAGTATTGAATCATCAAGAGGTTTATTATAACATTTTACTAGATATTCTGAAACAGTAGCTTAGATACAACAATATTTCAAGTTCGTGTAACTGTCATATTATACCCAGATATCTTATTATTAAATTGAACACACACACACACACAACATCATAATTACACTTTAATGTAATCACAACTCTAGGAAACCGTTTTTTTTTCTTTACATCAAATAGTCCTGTAAAGTAGACAATTCTTATGGAAATACTCATCAAAAGCAACACGGAGAGAGAAAAAAGAACAAACACTACAGACTAATCCAATATACATAGTAGACACCGACAATTGAAACATTGTCTAATTATCTATTGTACGTGTATTTCGTAAAGAAACGAATGAAATAAACATTGAAGGGTGATAATAGTAAATAAGAAAGAAATCCACCGTGATGTAAAGAAAAGAAAATTGTAATGAGGTGAATAGAAAAAGATAAAGAATGTAAAAACTAGATAAACTATACAACATGTGAATAGATTGTGTGACAAGTTAAAGGAAATGAGTTTTCAATTGTTTTATAAGTTATTTGAATATTATATTATTTACAGTTGAATAATTTCTTTTATGATGAATATAGATATATAAGTATTATTTATATTGTAGGTCTTTTAATGTATGCTTCCCTTTCAAAGTATAGACTATACTTGGTATTGTAAGCAAAGAAAGATAGTGGCTAAAAGTGAAATCCAGTTTGATACACGTTTTGTCCTATTTGAAACTCGTCAGTTGGATGTACCTCCATCTCAGAGTTGATGTTCACTCGGGGACTTGAACACAGTACCTTTCGCTTCAAAAGCCATAGTGTTATTCACTCGGCCACTAAGTCCTGATAGACACTAGCTTGTACAATGGGGTGAAGTTAAAAATTCACTTAGTATTGTTTGTTTGAATCTTCCCAATTAGAAACTGACCGGTTGCAGTCCTAGATCATTAATGGGAAGATTCAAACAAACAATACTAAGTGAACCATATATTAATACACAATAGTTAACTAAAAAGAAACATTGTTTATCGATGTACTTTTTATATTTACATAAGTGAGAGGAAGTTGTTTATCTTAAAAATAGTGAGATTTACTCAGTGCTATGAATTCATAGACTTTTTAGACTCACATCTAGAATTCGACTTGATCTATAGAAATAGTAAAATGAATCGTTGTTAATCTTCCTTTGCTCTGATACAATTTTTTGACATTATAAAATCCATTTCAACTCTTTCAGTGCACAAACTACATTATTACATCATTTTTAAGCTCTATTATAGCACAATTTTTTTATTTTAACTGACCAAACTTCGCTCATTCTATTCTTGGTTATTATTAACCTTCTAGTATTTTCACTTGATGTTGTTTACTTGTATCTACCCATTGTTATTTAGGACTGTAAATGATCAGTCTCTTATTGACATATGTGCACAAGCAGATGATTATCAGGACTCAGTAGTTAAGTGGATAAAGTGATGGCATTTGAAACGAATAGTACTGGGTTTGAGTCCCAGAGTGAACATCAACTCTGAGATGCGGAAACATTCATCTGACGAGTCCCAAAGAAAACGAAACTCGCATTAAACTCGATTACACTTTTAGCCACTATCCATCTTTGCTTATAAAACTTTTAGTCTATTGTTACTTCGAAGGCTTTAAAACGTCTGTTGACACGTGATGTATAGATTTGTAATTTTTGTCTAGCCTATTAAATATATTTGCACTTTTCGTACATTATGCCAATGCGAGATTATATCGAATTCTAACCAAATACATTTATGTAAATAATAGAGATTATAAACAATTGACAAGAACATAACTAAATAAAGTAAACTTATTTGACTCTAATTAAATCTTGATCAACAGGATTCCATCTTCATTAAGAAATACTTAACACATATGACATTGATCGCTACCTAGTGATCAATCAATTGTACATAGATTTGATCTTTATTCATGTTCCTTTCGAAAGAAAAATAAACTTGAATACATGGATAATAATTTTAATCATAGATGATTGATCAAACGATAATTGTATTGTCATTTATAATACTATTTTGTATAAGTAAGTAACATGTCAATCTGATAATCTAATAAATTATGTGTTTATTTATATAGATATTTAGAGTATTTTTTTAAGTTTAGATTGATATCATGAATGAATCAATGTTAGACCACTATTGAAAACGTGGAAGAAATTAACGGCCATTTCGTCTTAGTATAGGACTTCACACTAGTGCGTATCCACAATCTCTCACAAAGGACTCGAAATTAAAACTCCTGATCATGTACACTAACGCAGAACCTGTAACCCACTGAGCCAGCACCTAACGGTGTCTATCGTGAGGTATTTACTAACTGAAAGCAATGCAGGACGGTCGCGTGATTTCTTTGATTGGTTGAAATTAGATATTTACACCATAAAATCCTGGTTTAGTGGTTTAGAGGCCAAGCGTTCGCTTGCGAGGTCGAATCTCTTGTGCGCGATCGTAAATGCTCACTGCTCACAAGTCCCATACTAGAACGTAATGGCCTTCTACTATTTTCAGGTTCCACAAAACTGTACTGATAATTTTTCAAGTAGTTAAAAGACTACTCTATTACAATTTCGAACAATATGAAATTAGGCATTAACACCGTTGGATCCCGGTTCAGTGAGCTAGAGACTAAGCGAGGTCGAATACCTTGTGTAAGATCGTAGATGCCCACTGCTCACAAGTCCTATACTAAAACGAAACGGCCTTCCAGTACTTTCAGATTTTCAATGATGTTTTAACATTGATGCATTCATAATCTCAATCAAGTACTTAACAATCTCCTTACAAACTTATACTGATATTTTTTTTCAAGTACTTGAAAAAATACTCTATTACAATTCCGAACTTTATGAAGATTTACACTCTTGAGTATTATTATTATTATTATTATCATTACTATTACCATTATCACTATTATTATTATTTTGTCCTCATGACCTTGAAATAGGGGACTAAAACAAAATAAATAAATAAAGCAACAAGAAAAACAAGTGTAACAACAGATGTTTATTAAAAGTTATTAGAAAATAAAGAAAAACCAAAAAAATATTGTTGATATGATGATTATTGAAAAAAAGAAAAAAAATGTAAAAAAATTTTTTTTTGTTTTTTTAATTTATTTATTTATAAACATAAAAAAGAAAATAGAATATTCTTATTATTATTATGATTATTATACTGAACTTATGAACTAGTTGTGAAACAAAAAAAAAGAGAAAAAAAATAATAAATAAATAAATGGATAGTGATGTAATCAAAACAAAAAAAAACAAAAAAAAAAGAAGTTATCAAAGATAAATAAATTGAATTTTGAATTTCCATATGGTAAATTGAATTAAATTGACTTAAGTTGAAAAGAGTTTTGTTTATTTGTTTGTTTAAGATGTTACAGTTGAATGAAAGAAAACAAAAAAGAACAGAATTGTATATTAATAATAGTAAATATATTAACAAAAGGGGGGGATTTTGTGGAAACTTAAGTAATTTTATATAGTTTGAAATCATGAGTCAGTTGATCGAGAGATGGGATCGTGGATACGTATCCTACTAAGGAGATATACAATATGGAATCAGTACAGAGACGATTTACATTTCGTACTGTTGGAACTGATTGTACTTTGACATATAATTCTAGGTGTAATGAAGTTGGACTTGAACGTTTATGGAAGAGGAGACTCAAACTAAATCTTATCTTCTTCTTCTTCTTCAAAATACTTAACAAATTATTATTTACATCCAACCAAGCGATTCAATATGCAGAAACTTCATATTACGACATTCGTAATTGTTTATCTTTAGCGAAACAAACATATTTTAAATCATCTCTCTATATGAATTACTTTAGCTGTAAATTTTCTAGACTCTGGATTAATCTACTACAAACTATCCGTACGATAAAATCTCTCCCATTACTTGTTCGCTCCATTGATGCATACTGCTCCACTTAAGAAAAAATTAAAAGTTCCCTGCTGATGCATTGGATTCCCATGATACATGTCATAGATAAACTACTTAATAATTACTGAACCAGCAAACATAAAATAATCTTATATCACATATTTGTTCTCTACATCAAACGTTGCTATTTATATCAAATTGATCATGCCTCTAAACTGGTGTGAATTCTGTAATTATTTTCAAAATATATTATTATTATAGTAGGACGAAATGGCCGTTCAAAGCTTCCAGGTTTTCCATGGTGGTCCAGCTTCAAATGACTCATGATTTCAACCATATAAAATTACTAAGAACTCCACAAACCCTCCTTCGGATATTAATCATATGCTCACTAGTGACTGGACACAAGAGGTATTTCCTCGAGTTCTAGTGAGAAACCACGACAAGTACAGTTCAACCGGGTCTGTTGTGAGATAACGACTTACTGAAGATAATGGAGGACGGTCGCGCAATTTCGTGAATTTGTTGAAGTTAGACATTAACACCGTTGGATGCCGTCTAAGGGGTGTAGAGATTAAGCGTTCACGCGCGAGATTGATAGGTCTTGGGTTTGAATCTCGCGAGACGGGACCATGGACGCACACTGCTGAGGAGTCCTACAATAAAACGAAACGGCCATTCAGTGCTTCCAGCTTTTCCATTGTTATCTAGTTTCAACTAACTCATGAATTCAACTATAAAATAAATACATTAGTTTTTTGTGTAATCCCAATAAGTAGAAAAATTGCACTTTTTTTGAGGTTTCGTAACTTAATGTAAACCACTATTTTTGGAGTAAATAACTAACCGAATTAAATTAAACACAAGTTTAAATAGTATATAGGAAATAATGAAGAATATGTTTAGTACAATCAAAATGATAATAGAACGTGAATATCATGTTAAGTTATTCTTGGTCAAAGTGAATTTTTATGACCTTTCACTGTATTAACTTGTTAGTTAGAATGTGCATTTGAAAAATGTATGCATTTGCTATATGAAGTAATGAGGTTGAAATTGGGTATGTATATGTGTAGATTGTGTGGAAAATAAATGGTGTCAAATGTAGATGAAAGCGTGAGTCAATTAAAACTACACCACTATAGAAAACCTGGAAGCACTGGACGGCCGTTTCGTCCCATTATGGGACTCCTCAGCAGTGCGCATCCACGATCCCGCACCCGCGACATTCGAGATCAGAACCTAACAATTTCGCACCGGAGCATTTAACCGATAGACCACAGATGTAGTTGTTTAGATGAACAATCCATGTTAGATAAATATGCAGTCCTTCTTTCTTATTTAGACCAGAGGAATTAAGCATTATATGAAATGCTTAGGCTACTCGCCTCTCTTTATATAAATTGGAAAAACCTTTCTAAATTACATCAGGTCACAAAACATCAGATAAAATACAATTTTTCTACTCATTGGGATATAACAAAAGAAATATTTTTATCAATATGGGGTTATTAAGATTGTTAAGATTTTAACTGAGATAATGAATCGATCAGTGTTAAATCACCATTAGAAACTTGAAAAAAATAAACCACCGTTTCATCCCAGTATGGGACTTTTCACCAGTGCTCTTCCACGATCGCGCACGCGAGACTAACCCAGGAACATCAGTCTTGCACGCAAACGATTAACCTCTAAACCATTGAGCCTACATTCAAAGATGTTAATGTCTAAATTCAACCAATCCACGTAATTACATAACCATCTTCCATTGCCTGAGGTAGATATCTATCTCCACCTGACAAAGATTAGCTCCACTGGTCACAGCTTCACACTAAATCTTTCTACCCAATGCTCAATTTATTTAAAACGATCACATACAACTTTGTCATTGATACCTATAAAATCATTGTAAACTATAATTTATAATAGAAGTGAATGTTTGAAAGTCAATCTATTATCAACTAATGTTCATTATGAAACATTGTCCTAAATGAACGTAATAAATAACCCATTTGTGATTCAATTAGTATTCAACCTATGAATCATTGAATCGATTGTACATTTATAGCAACTCAGATACAATTGAGTTTGTTTACATCTAATTCAGCTAAGCCCTTTTGTTAACTTTTTTAATGGACAGTCATTCATACAATAACAACCTATCTATACCATTGTACTTTTATTATATACGCTTGAACATTGCTTACTGCCTACGCATATATTCATTCCGCTAGCATTATTATTAATCGCTTATTTGATCCGATGATTCATGCTTTTCCACTTATATATATGTACATCTTAATCCTGTTTACTGCTCTTGCCCTGCTTGCTCTCTGCTCTGCTCTGTATTACGCTACACCGTACTGTATATGCTTACTCATTCATCCGGCTCTACGGCACTGCTTTTTCATGCTTGTTTGACGTACCTGTAATATTGGATAACTGTGTGTGGTTCAGTAATAAACACGATCAACTCTTCGTATTCGTCTTCTGATTTATCCATCGTTAGGACGTAGACGAGTAACGGTTATCAAGACGAACAATATACGAAGCTTAGGGATAGTACCGAATATCGACCACCACACATTATAATGTCTATTAATTACAAACCTATCAATTGAATAAATTTTTATAAACAGAGATGGATAGTGACTAATAGTGGAATCCAGTATAATACTCATTTTGTACTATTTGAGATTTGTCCTATATTCCATTAATAGACACCATCTATCTCTGTCTGTAATGTATATGATTTAAAGCAATATAAAAATAATCCAAACAGGATGCATGTATACCAATATAAGAGATTAATCAATTTCAGTTGTAAACATCAATAAGAAGATTCAAACAACATGATTTATCAAACATTTCAAGCGAGATCATATTCTCCACCGATAATAACAATAAGGTTTCATGGTTAATTGTATGAGAAACTAAATATTAGATTATTTAAATGTATTACAATAAAACTATGAGTTAATAAAGATATTCGGTTTGATTTACATTTTATAATTTAGTTAACAAGTGATATAGTGCACTTTTAAACATTTTGAAGAAATGTACATTTAAATTCATCAGTCAATCTAAGTTAGACGACCATTGGAAATCTGAAAACACTGGTTGATCATTTTGTCTTAGTATGGGTTCGAGTCCCGTGCGCGAGATCGTGGATATGCATTGCTAAAGAGTCTCATACTAGGACGAAACGGACGTTCAATGTTTCCAGGTTTCCAATGGTGGTGTGAGGACGATCCACAAGTGAATTTGGGGAAGCTTTAAGAGGCTCAGAAGGAGCCAAACATATTCCATCCAATCAGCTTTTGGAAGAATATTCCAGACTTTCCACGTATAGCTTCCCTATTGCACGAATGCTAAAAAAACCCTGTATGCGGATTGGATGACCATAATAATGATGTGGTCTTTACTAAAAACTACAAATACCTGAAAGTTTTGTACCATATTTGGCACTGTTTGGAATAACATTCCTTTCATTTGTCTCCTGTCTCATCATTTGCAACTTGAAGGGTTCTAGCGTTTGAGTGCTCGAGTTGTAAGCGGTATATCCGGATTCTAAATTCGAGGTATAACAGGTGGTCTAGCTTAGATCGACTCATGAATTTAATTGTTAGAGTTACTAAAATCTCCACAAATCTCCATTCTGATAAATAAATTCAATTGACTGAGGAAGTTATAATTGATACAGATTGTATTTATCAGAATTTAAGAAGGATGATTCGTAGTTATCTTTTTAGCAAACTAAGTTTTAAAACTTTAATTCAATTCAGTATTGAAATGCAATAATAATAATGTAGTGAATGAGAACACTAGTGGGGATAACCGAATGTATTTTAGCACAACATTACAGAATATCTCATTAAAATATAAGAACCATATAGTGAATAGTTAATTTGCAAACTATCACTAAATTGTCTCAATTTGACTGATTCTTCTGCAAATATCCATCCATACTCTCTGACTATTTTTGTTCATGCATTTCCGTACCAATTGCATGCCGTTCCCGTTCTCTCCTTATCGATCTTCTACTGAAATACATTCAATGCCCGACTAACAACATATACTACTAATGTGAATATCAGTAACCCACAACACAATAACATTTTATGACTATGATAAAGGTAAGAATAAAATGTACTTATTTTTTACACACAATTCTGGCTTCATCACATGGATGGTAAGAGCTTTTATTGTTCTAAGAAATGGAATATGGAAGTAATCAATGTAGATTTAGACGAATTGTAGAAATAATATTAATCGACATTATTAAGCGAGGCGAGATCGTGGATGCGCACTGCTAAGGAGTCCCACAATGGAACGAAACAACTCTCTAGCACTTCGAGGTTTTCCTTGGTTTTCCAGCTTCAATTGACTCATGTTGTCAACTATAAAAAAATTTATTATGATTCTCTTGTACTTTTTTATTTGAATTTGAATAGGTAATGGTTATATTGAAGGTTCAGAATTGGATAATTTTTTACGTGAATTCATCTACAGTGTATTTTCTGAAGAATTAGGAAATGAGGTAAGTGTGAAATATTTCTTTAATTAATATAGATTCATGGTTTATACTAAAGTGTTTAGGATTAGTTTGATTCAACTTATGAAGTTAGATATGATGTTTCTTTATGATAGTATATTACACGGTTTCCTTTCTGTATTTGGACATTAGTTAACAGTTCATGTATTTTATTTAGTGTTATAATTAAGAGTTATTTGGTGAGTGAATAATAAAATGACCGATAGGTTCTGGGTTCGAACTTCGTGGGGCAAGATCAAGGATGCGCACTGCTGGAGCGTCCAACTCTAGGGCGAAACGGCTGTCCAGTGCTTTCAAAATAGTCTAGCTTCAATTGACTCATGATTTCAACTATGAAAATACTGAAATCTCCACAAAACCCCTTTCCAATAAAAATATAATTACAAGTCAGTAAACTATCTATTATCAGAATATGAGAAGTTATTTTTATTTAATAAATAGATAATATATAGTCAAGAAGATGATAGAAATCTCTTGTGGGAAAAAAGACATTGCATTTGTTTGGCCTCATTTATCTCTCACTGTATGTTATATAGAAAACTAAATATTGAACATGAATACCTGAATAGATTGGAAAAGTATTTCTAATTAGATTCAGTGTCTGGTTTCAATTTAATTCTTAAGGACATTGATCCTTGATGTCATTTAGTTAATATTGAAGAGTGATGTTCAAAAATACAATTTCTTTAGTAATTAGAGTATTATAATTGGATTCATAGAAACTTTTCAATTGTTTATAACATGTAAAGACTCTAAAGCATGATGCTATATTTGAAAGCAAAGATGTATAGTGGCTAGCAGTGGAATCCAGTTTGACGTGCGTTTCGTCCTAGTTGGGACTCGTCAGCTGGATGTACCTGCATCTCAGAATTGATATTCACTCTGGGACTCGAACCCAGTACCCTTGCTTCAAACGCCATGGTGTTATCCACTCGGCCACTGAGTCCTGATAGACACTTGCTTGTGTAATGGGGTGAAGTTTAAATTCATTCAGTATCTTTTTTGAATCTTCCCATCGATTTGTTAGAGACTGACCAGTTGCAGTCCTAACAAATCGATGGTAAGATTCAAAAAAAAAATACTGAATGAATAATACTATATTGTTATTTAATGAACTCACTAATGGATGATATCACCTGCCTATAAGATTTATCAATAATATATTTTAGTTATTTGTAGACTAATAGAAACATTCAAACATAAACCAAGTATACTTCTTAAATTTTCCTAACTATTTAGTTTACCCTAGTTCATAAAGATCATCTATCTCAGTTTTCGAGTTTGAATTTTCTACTTTTAAAATTGGTAAATCAATCAAACTTCAATTAGAATTACCCCTAAAACTAAACTTTGAATGATAGAATAGTTAAGTTTGTAATAAACTTTCACATCATATGCTTATCATTCATTGTATTTGATCATTTTAAAAAAACTGTATTAAGCATTTTTCTGATATAATAGAACATACGAAATCATCAAGAGGAGACAAGTAGAAAGGTTTCCCAAGGTATATATATATATACATGGTACCAATAAATGAATAATTGATTACATCAATCAATGATTAATTACCTTTGTTTCAACAAATGTGAACTGGGAAAATCAATTTTTAGTTGCTATATTACCCAATAAGTATGGAGACAAAAAAAATCCTCTAAAATAACTGACAACAATTCATTGAGATTATTAATAAACTACTTGACTAGTTGACTGTTTTTCTATTCAATAATTCAATTAAAGATGTCATTTATGTAATGAATTGATGATAGGTAAGTATAAGATTAATTCATTAACTTATTGGTTGTTTGAACTAATCAAACTCTTGTTGGCATATGTACAACTTGTATGGATTGTCTTGATATTATTTTCAGTCACATGTATTATAAGCAGAAGTGGGTGGTAGCTAGCATTTCACTGCACGAGCCAATGACTATCTGAACTAAGTAACTATTCATATACGTCAACTTTAGTCAGTTTAACATGATTTTTAATCGTTAATACTAATAAGAAAATGACTTGCAGTTGAATTAAGTGGTCATTGGTATCTTACCACAGTAAATCTAAAGCAAAGCTAAAAATTCTTACAGATTCTAGAGATACCATTCTAACAATTTATTATTATTAATGGCTATTCAGTATTACATTCATTACATTACAATTCTCAGTACAAGCTTTTTCAACAAATTTCCTTTTATTATTTCTTAATCGATCCTGACGATAAATATTGAGTGATCACCAGCTAAATATTATCAGTTTACGATTAGACATCTAAATGAATATTCATTCTTGTCAACCACCACAATATCTCTCACTTTACTTTTTCGTAACTTGTACAATCAAAGGTTGTAAACTTTTCATAAACGTTCCTGAATAGGTTATGCGACTAAAAGACATAATGATATTTTAAAACAAACAAACAAAACAGATAACTTGTCTAAATATGTAGATCGTTGGAATAGGTAGATCAGATATATTTAAGCAGACTACCACAAAGGTGTCACATTTTAGAATAAGATCAATGAATGACATATAAACAGTACCAGTTCTAGTGATTAAAACGTATTTAGCAAATATGTTTATTATCTAATGACAACTGTTTAATTACTTAACTGACTATCGTAACCAATGGTTGGAGACTCTAGGTGACATGGCTCAGAATCGATCACAATGGCGTAGGTGTATACACTCCTTATCTTCCCTTAAACCGTGAGATAAAATTTACTTTATATCTGTCTTTCTTCCTGTACTGTATCCTTATATTCAACCTTTCTTTTACATATTAACACCACTAAATTAAATACTTCTATGGATCCGGTGTTCATCTTCTTGTGCTAATGAGGTTTGGCAACTTTGACCGACGCATATATGTGACTAGTTTTACGCTGTAGCTGACTGACTGAACTGCAACTTACAAAGAAATAAAAATTGAAATAATTCATTTTACATCATTGAAATAAGCTTCAGTGTATCATTTTTTCTTGATGATAATAATATTGTTAAACATAACTAACAATATTGTAGAGGAGTATCCAGGCTAAAATATAATTGAATTCATGAGTCCATGTAATCTAGACCATTATTCGAAAGCGTTTCGTCCTAGTATGAAACTCTTCAGCAATGCAAAATGATCCCACATACAGGCGTCAAATCCACAACCTTAGATCTTACTTATGAACGATTAACCTATAAACAATTTAGTCATTATCCAACAATGTTTATATCTAACTTCAATCAATCTATAATTACGGTTAACCCGTAAACAACTTAGTTATCATTCAGAAATGTTCATATCTAACTTCAATCTATTTATAATTAACTCATGTATTCACCTATTAAAATATTATAGTTTCCATAAATTCCCATTATGATAAAATATATTTATTTAGTTAATTTATCACATGCTATCAATATTGAAAAAAACGAAGTGTTTAATTTCAAAAATACAAAGAAAAATTTATGTTTTTTTCCTTAAAAAAGAAAATTAAACCTACCAAAAAAACAACCAAACAATAAGTCAAATGAAACATTATAAAATACAAAAAAAAATTTTTTCTTTCTCATAATATCCATTTTAATAAAATAAAATTTATTTCTGTTTTTTTTTTTGTATTTTCTTTTCCCTGGAGACAATAAAAAATTTTTTTAAAAATTTTTTTTTTATTTTTTTTTTATAAAACACCATTTTTTTATTTATCATTATTCTCATGTTCATGAGAAATAAAAATTTTAAATGAACATGTGTATGATTAAAAAAAAATATTACAATTTAGTTACATTGAGTATGAAAAACTTTTATCCAAAAAACAACAAAAAACGACAAAAAAAACAAAAAAAAACACAAAAAAATGAAAAAACACAAAAAATAAAAAAAACAACAAAAAATATAAAAAAAAAACTGATCGATGTTCATGTATCTATCTATAGAATGTTCTATGTTATATACCTTTTATTTATTTAAATAATGTTAAAATAAAATATGAGATAAGGATATGACAATCAAATATGAATTATTTTAATGGTTACTTTATAATTATATATAATGAATTATGAAATTTCTATTTATAAATACTTCAATACTATTACTACTATTACCAATAATAATAATAGATGTTCACTGCATTTATAGCGTATACCTTACAATGAATAACTATCTATTATATAAACATCTTAAACATTGAATTCACTTGCTATTGTTTATTTGAATCTTTTTATTGATGTTTAGGACTGAAATGGATCAGTATCTTATTGGCCTATGTGCATACTGTGTATATTGCCTCGATAGAGCCTTATTTTACAAACATTGTAAGCAAAGATGGATAGTGGCTAACAGGGAAATCAAGTTTGACGTGTGTTTCGTCCTATTTGGGACTCGTTAGCTGGATGTACCTGCATCTGAGAGTTGATGTTCACTCTGGGACTTGAACCCAGTACCTTTCGCTTCAAACTCCATCGTGTTATCCACCAAGCTACTGAGTTCATCTTTGTTTATAGTGATTGTGAATTAAGGCTTTATCGAGGCAATCTGCACAGGATGTACATATATCAATAACATACTGATAAATTGCAGTTCTAAACATCAAGGTGAAAATTCAAGTAAACAATACCAAGTAAATTTAAACTTAGCTCTATCGCACAAGCAAATGGATATCGGAACTCAGTAGTTGAGTAGATAACGCGATGGTGTTTGAAGCGAAAAATACTGGGTTCGAGTCCCAGAGTGAACACCATCTCTGGGATGCAATAACATCCAGCTGATGAGTCCCAAACAGAACAAAACGCTTGTCAAACTGGATTTCACTTCTAGTCACTATCTATTTTTGCTTATGATATCTTAAACATTGTTTGTTTAAAAATTAAATAAGTTTCTTTCAGTTAGTAATAGTTAAATTTCACCACGATAGATACATCTTTCTGTTTGCATTATTTATCTGAATATATGAAATAAATGTATACCGTATAATATGTATATAGTTATATATTGAATTTAGTATTTGATGAGGCTATAGTTTATGTATCACATTTGAGCGACGCTATAATAATCTTGAGAACGTTTTCCTACTCAACTAAGGCTAAATAAGGGTTATAAACTAGTGTGAAGAATAAGGATTATGGTTTACAGTTGATAGTTAAGGTTAGGAATTAGATTTATGATTTTTGTTATTTCTTATGGGTTTGTGTTCGTATTATTATATGATGTGAAGATGAATCGAGTTAGAATAAAGTGAATTATCGATCGGACCAATGACGCGTAAAACCTGTACGAGCAGTCTAGAGTGCTTATCGGTCCTTGATTTCTACCTAGTCCTGATTGTCAAGTCCAGAACACCAATGACAGCCTCTGCAACTTGAATCATTATTCTCAAACATACTGGCTTTATATACAAACCAAACAGACCAAATTACACCATGAAATAGTAAAATAACATTTATTCAAGATCAAGCCAAATGCAGCTGTGAATGTGGGAGACAGTAATTAATAGACTGGATGTAACTCAAGAATGGTAAATCGTATAATAATAGTCTGTAGTTCAAAAGAAAGCTTACTATAAGAGGGACACTAATATGGATTGTTTAGATAGTCAAAAATTATACAATAAAAATATATGTATAGTATTAGACCATAAATAGATCCCAACAGTTTACCATTCATTATTCTCATCGGGATATAACAGTTTTCATCACAAACTGACATCAGCTAAAGGGTCGAAACGCTATTTAGTCAAATGGGTGAATGAATTTCGCGCTAAAATCCAAGAGACCTGTTACCTCAAACCTAATTGGTTGATCTACAAATTATAGTTTTGCCTACTATTCTAATACCAACATTGTAACAATTAGTTGGAGAATTTAATATGAAATTTATTGAGAATCAATATTTCATTCTAATCAACAATTGAAGTATGAATATGGATAATGAAATGTCTGATAAAATAATTAGCGATATCATTTTTACCTTTCCTTTCTACTGTGTAAGTGATAAGCAACAGAGATTGGAAAAATGAATTTATATTATCTTATTGGAAATAAGACCGAAATGTCCTATTTCTTCTCCATTCATGTGCCAATAATGGGAACGAATATTGAAACGGAAGTCAGATGAAAACTGTCATCCATAATACTCTGTTTCTTCAATGCGCGAAGTTTCGCAATATTTGGTACCTACCATATATATTCTACTATATATATCTATATATATCTATATACATATTTATATACTATTTATATTCTTCAGCAGTGCGCATCCCCGACCCGCATGCGGGATATAAGTTAGACATTAACATCCCTGGGGACCGGCCGGCTAAGAGTTCGTGTGTGAGACTGAAGATCCTGGGTACGAATCCTGTGCACGGGATCATGAATGCACACTACTGGGGAGTCCCATACTAGGACGAAGCAGCCGTCCCGTGCTTCCAGAGTTTTCATGTTGGTCTAGCTTATAGTGATCCATGAATTCAACTATTAATATATATATATATATATATATATATATATATAATGTTATTTAGGACGTGTGACGATGAGATTTCACTGACGTTTTACGTATATACTCTTTCATATTAAAATATAATCTTAATTATGCTTACAGTAATAAAACTCTTTATTTCTAATTCTCATAGACCTTAAGTTATATGTACCAGGTAATCTTTAAGAAACATACTAGAATATAATATGACAAACACTTTTCAGTGTTTCTGTCGTGCATTGATTTCGGCTAGACAACCGTTGAATATCGGGATCGAGCCTAGAACTGTCTGATCTAAAGTCTAATGTTAAACCTTAAGACATTTGATTTGGTAATTAACGATTTACACACTCATATTTTCATTCCATTCGCAACATTCTAGGATCATTTCTCATTCACAGTGGGAGGAAAAATTCCTCACGTCAGACGCGGTTGAACTTCATTGGTCACCATTACTCACTAGAGCTCGAGGAATTATCTCTAAAAATCAGTCACTAATGTATATATAATTAATAATAAAATAGGATTTTTCAGACAAGTGCTGCCGGTTGTAGTTTACATTTACTGAGAGATCACATTTTAGGACGAAATAGATATCTAGAAATTCTTGGTTTTGAAAGATCGAACTTTTATCCATTCATGATAATCACTAGAAGGTTCGCCAATCTCCACAATTTATTTATCTCCTGATTGGTTGAAAGTACCCGGTAGAAAGTTCTAGACTTATGTCATGTTATAATTAATAAAGGATATTGATTTTCAATCAAATAATGCATATATCCACTTAGTATTACTTGTTTGAATCTTTCCATTGATGTTTAAGACCTCAACTGGTCAGTATCTTATTGACCATATGTGCATACTGTGTGTATTGCCTCGATATAGCCTTCATTCACAAGCATTATAAGCGAAGATGGATAGTGGCTAGAAGTGGAATCCAGTTTGACACTCGTTCCGTCCTATTTGGGACTCGTCAGCTGGATGTACCTGCATCTGAGAGTTGATGTTCACTCTGGGACTCAAACCCAAAACATTCATTATTTATTAGTAAACTGTGTGAAGTTACTATTCAGCTTATCTTTTTTTTAAAAATGCTACAAGTCTTCCCGACATACATATTTCTATAAATCAAAGTGTGGTTAACATTAGATAACATTATTCTATTTTATAACAAAATAATTAAAATATTAGCTTGAAAATTTGTCTGTTTTTGTTTCTTAACTATCCTTCTAAATAAATATAAGAAACACTCTGTTCAACAATCTAATGATAGGGTTATGAAGATTGTTGAGTTTAAATTGATATCATGAAGGAATCATTTTTAAACTATCATTTAAACTAGCATTTCACAGGCCGTTTCGCCTCATACTGGGACGAAAAAGCCGTCCAGTGCTTCCAAATTTTCAATGGTGGTCTAACACTGATCTAATCACAATATCAGTCTAATCCAATAATAATAATAATAATAATAATAATAATAATAATGATAAATTACTTCGTTCCCTTTTATTTTCGAGTTTGAAATTTATTCAATTTGTTCAACTTGATTAAATGTTAAGTGTTTTTTTTCGCCACTCATTTTCTTTCAATTACCTCTTTTTTGTTCCCCAGACAATACCTAGCGATGAATTGGAATTAATGAAAAAAGAATTTATGGAAGCATTTGATGAAAATTCTGACAATCGAATTGAGCTTACTGAAGTACGTCTAAGTAGTAGTCATAATAGTTGTAGTTGTAGTAGTAGTAGTAGTAGTGGTGGTGGTGGTGAGCATTGTATTCTATGTCAGAAATCATCTCAAATTATGTTATTCATTTCACAGTTACTTGTAGTTCATCTGTCCACTCAAGCATGTCCTTATGAGAACAAAAATAAGATGACACTGTGAAGACAGTTAACTGATTATAACGTTATAGGCAAACAGACTTTTGCCTTTATATATATAAGGAGAGAAAGGTAATTTTAACAGTTGACTTAACATTTGACAGCCATAATCAGATGATTTGACAATAAAGCGATGAAGATCAGGAAGAAAATGGAAAACAACGCGGTAAAAATAAGCGTAGACAGGACAATTTTTTTTAATTTATTGTAATATGTATCATTAGTACTATAATTACCGTTATTATTCATATGATGATGATAAGCTAAAATAATGAATCCAAGTAAGACCTCTAATAAAGTATTCAAATGCTCCTTTGAGTTATCAATAGTATATCTATATATGAGAAATGTGACTTATCACAACAGATTAGCTATTGAGATAATTTAACTTCAAATTCAAAAGTATTTTTGTTTAATTTCAAATATGACTTTTTAATTACTGCATGATGTTATAATAACAAAATCTAGACATCATTAAAATTTCACACTCGAGAAATCATAAATACAACTTAATGTAATGTATTCGTCCATCCATATCTTGTAAACTTGATATCTGGGCAAACGGCAATAGAAAGGTTTAATACATCCTTGGATGAGACAATTCGCGGAACTCTTGAATACAACAGCTAAACTGAATCCACCAGACATAGAAGCAGCATCTACAGACCTTCCTATAGATGTCAATCCACCAACGATCGAAGAAATCAAGATGGCCATCAGACAAATCAGGAGTGGGAAAGCGGCAGGACCTGACAATATACCAGCTGAAGCACTGAAGTCAGACATTGAAGTAACTGCAAACATGCCTCACCTTCTATTCAGGAAGACTTGACACAAGTGCCGACGGACTGAAAAAAAGGAAACCTTATCAAGATACCAAAGAAAGATCTGCGCAAATGTGAGAACTACAGAAGCATCAGTTTGTTGTGAAAACCAGAAAAGTTTTCAACAGTGTTGCTGAACCGGATGAAAGACGCAGTAGACACCCAAATTCGAGATCAACAGGCTCGATGCTATAAGGATCAGTCGTGCACAGACCGAATTGCAACATTACAGATGATCGTGGAACAATCAGATGAGTGGAATTCGTCACTATACATAGACTTCACTGACGATGAGAAGGATTTTGAAAGTCTGAATTGGAGAACATTATGGAAATCTCTTCAACAATATGGGATACCTGAGAAAATCGGCAACATCATCCGGAATTCAACAACGTACTACAGAGCAGAGTCATGCAACGAGGACAGCTGACAGACTCATTACAAGTGAGGAAAGAAGTCAAACAAGGCTGCCTACTCCCACCCTTTCTATTTCTTCTAGTGATTGACTCATTGAATACAATTAGATTATTTCAATTAACAGTATTCCATATTCATTACATCATTGATTTGAATGTCATCAGTTTATCCTAACTAACTCGATAGTATACAATGATGACTCAATTACACTACGAATGAATGAGTTCATTTTATTGCAAACTAGTTCACTTCCATCCATATTCACAATTATATTTCATACATACATTAAGATGGAATAGTTTCATCTAATGTTTAGTGATTCATTATGTGAAATCCGTTGAGGATGAAATATTCAGTATAGAGATTTGTGGGAATTGTCATTATTTACATCACTAATCAATGTTCACTGAACCACCGTTCGAAATCAGATATAAGTGGATATCGATTTTGTTGTAGTATGGGATTCCTGGTTATTGCAGATATATGACTCTTTCATAGAAGATGGAACATGTGATGTTGAGTCTCGTGTATAAACACCCGACCTGTATACCACTGAGCCTTGATCTAATATTGTTCAGGGGTAAATTTAATCAAACCACGATACATAGCAACAAACTCTCATTATTTGTAGTGTATAACTGTCTTCTTACCATCATGACCAACCATGAAATAATTCATTAACCGTATGCATGTATTTTAAACATAAATAAATAACTACAATCACCTCATTTTCCAACAGAATCGAAAATAATATCAAACTTATTTTAATAATAAATAAATAAAGTCATTAAAGATTGTTTATAAATTATTGTAGTATAGAACTCCTAGTAATTGTAGATGCTTTACTCCTTTATGGAGAATGAAACACATAATGTTTATGGATTATTGTTTCTTCAGAGATACTTACGTACTATTCACTAATAGTAACAGTTAAATGAACAAAAAGTTAATTATAATTGGACTTTTTTTCTAATAATAATCTTTTACCATTCCATTTTACTACCTACTGTAATGTAGATGGCAAAAATTCTACCAACTGAAGAAAATTTCATTCTGCTATTTCATCGGGATAATCCGTTAGATTCAAGTGTTGAATTTATGAGAGTAAGTATTACATAATCGATAATTTTCTTACATTATTCCTACTTATCATGATTAAAAAAAAACAAGTGTCAATTGAATATCATAAAATGAATTGTTTATCTATTGATAACCTCGTGAAATATTGCGAATTCAAAATGATCTGTCAGAGATTTGTAGCTCAGGTGGGTGATTTTCATGGTTTAGTCGTGAATCATTCATTGTCCTTCTGAAGGACATCATCAGCACAAACTTCAGGTAGAAGTGAAGTGTTTGAATTTCTTCACAAATGATTCACAGCTTGTCCTGTGCACCTTGATGTTGAATGATTTTCATTGACCTTAAATCTATCATTGTTTATTTCTTTGCTTTGGTCGTACCTCTCATTGGTTTGATTGTTGCTCCTATGTTTCTGCATAATTTTCCTGATTGGTTGGTAAATTGAATTGATTTCAATGTGCTTGTTTATTGCTGATTGACCTGGGTGTCAAGCTTCTAAAAATTCTCTGGTGTTTTTGGAATTGCCTCTATCCAAAATCTCCACATTTTTCCAGTCGAATATGTGTATGTGATTGTCCACATGTATTGATATAAGTGAAGAAATGTCGTGGCATTTGACTGCTAACTGATGTTCATGCAGGCGAATATGAAGAGGGCATCCGCTTTGCCCGATGTAGTGTTTGTCGCATTTGGCATAATTTATTTTGTAGATGATGTTTGGTTTGTCTTCTTGTGTCATTTCATTCTCTGGTTTGCATAAGACTGAATGGAGGGATTTTGTTGGTTTGTGAGAAACGCCTATTCCGAAGGTTTTCAGCAACCTCGTTGTAGTTTCCGATATACCTTATATATATGGTAGGGTGATCCTTTTGTTAATTTCCATACTTGACTTCGTGATCTGGTTAATTTTTCTCTGTGTAATTAGTAAAAGTTAATGAAGAGATCTGTTTATGATAGTGATGATGTCTTGTGATTAAATATTCTTTTATTTCATTGCCAAAACACTATTTACACTTTATCTTTTAGTTATAGAGGTAGCATTGTTAAATAGGATATGAAATTTGAAGTGGTTGAAGGTAATAGACAGAAAACCCTAGTTTTAGGTTTTATGTTAGTTGGGATAGATTTGACAAGCATACCTGTAATATGAAGGAACCAATTCTCCCTTTTGAATTCTAACCCGCATCACCCCGTAAACAAACATCTATATCTCTAGAAAAAATCGGTTTTTTCCATCAGTGAACATTGAGCTCCAGCTTTTATATAACCATAGTTATGAACAACCTCCTACTTTGGACAAAATGGTCTCACTCTTCTCTTATAAATACATGAATACAAACTATCAATGAAATAATATTATGTGTCGTCATTGGTATTATTTTATGTAAACAACTACGTAAATGAATCCAACTGGGGAAACAAGAAACTACAAATCGATAAAATTCCATGAATATCAGAGAATTTCTATAAACATGACACTTGATTCAACCAATAATCAAGAGATACATCACATGATACATAGTCTATTGACCAATTTGAAAAAGCTCAATCAGAAACCCGGTTCGTGGTCAACAAAAGATATCAGTCAAGTCAAATAAAAAAATAACTAAATACTAGCCCATGAAGTGAGCTCTGATAACGTTATGCATAATGACAATGAGAAGTCTCCAATAAAAGCATCTGGCTCAAACAACTTAACAAAAGTAGAGACATTTATTTACATAATAAATTCATTTCTCTTATATTTAAAAATCTATTAATTTAGTTACATTGATTCGCTTCGTATTCTGATATACCTAAAACTGTCCCTAGATAGTTAATTTGATATAACTTACTAAATCTATTTGTTACTATACTCAGTTGATGTTTAAATAAATCTGTTTACACTTCAAAATATATTTAAAGACAATCTTCTTTTGCATAGTTGATAGCATGAGTCGGAGCACTTAACCGATAGACCACTGAGCCGGTATCCGACGCGAGACTAGTAGGTCCTGGGTTCCAATCTTACAAGGCAAGGTCATGGATGCACACTGCTGAGGAGTTCCATAGTAGGACGATTTGGCCGTTCTGTGCTTCCAGATTTTCCCTGGTGGTCTAGCTTCAATCGACTCATGCTTTCAACCATGCAAATACTAAATCTTATTTTATCATGACCTACATACTCATCTAACTATCGTGCACATAAAGCTGCTGTATGCAAATAATTTAACTTGGAATCGGTTCATTTCTATCATATAAGTTTCATCAAATATGAATAACTGATATTATATAATACGTGAGTAAATTTTGAAACAACTTGCTGCCCAACTATTAAATCACTCTTTTTCATGTTAAGTAGTCAAAAAAACAACGAATATTTCTTATCCAATACATGACAGAGAACACTTATTTCATTTTCAGCAATCTGAAAAGTAACACTATATGATTTTGGTGATTGTTGAGTTTTCAATTGAGATCACGAGACCAAAGGTCATGAGTTCAAGTCTTGCATGAGGGATCGTGAGTGCGCACCGCTGAGGAGTCCCATATTAGAACGAAACGGTCATCCAGTACTTCCAGGTTTGAATGATGGTCTAGCTTAGATCAATTCATGAATTCAACTAAAAAAGTTACTACGATCTCTTTAAACCATATTCTGATCATAATAATCATGTGTTCATCAGTGACAAATTTCAAGATTGATCTCCTGTAGTTCTAGTGAGAAACCGTTACCCGTGGAGTTCATTCCGTGTAAAGTGTGAGTCAGCTATCCAGCTCAGATAATGGACAAAGGCTTGAGCAAGATCATCAATCGACCGAAGTAGCCTAGAGGTTAAACGTTCGTGCGCGAGACCGAAGGTCATGAGTTAGTGTGTCATGTTCGGAATCGTGGATGTGCATTGATGAGGGGTCCCACACTAGGAAGAAACGCTCGTCTAGTGCTTCCAGGTTTTCAGTGGTGGTCTACGTTACATCGACTCACGAATTAAACTATTAAAATTACCACATTCTCTACAAATCCTTATTCTGATAATAAACAAATATATTAATTAGAATCTACTTTGCAACTTCTATCAATTATACTCCCATATAATTATATAATATACCACTGTCTTCTGATAAGTAACACTTGAAGAAATTATATACTGTCATGAGTAAGTAAAACCTCAGCAACTTAAAAAAAAAATCATTTAAATGGAAAATCTCTGAAACTATTCTTCATTACATAATGATATCAAATTGGATACTGTTTATAAACGGAGAGATAAACAGAAAAAGAAAGAGAGAGAGGAAGTTGTTTTTAGTTTCATTTAAAACTGTTATTTATTTATATATATGTACATAAACATTGGTACCATGAGGTACCAAAATGATATTGGTCATACAAGTCATTCGAGTTGTATGAAAGCTGAGATACTGAATCAAGGACATTTGAATTTTAAAATAAACAAAATAACTTTAAAATCATTCAAACACTTTATGGTATAGCACAGTAATTATCTAAAATAATCAATAAATAACTGCCATATTCCTTTTCAAATCCCTCTTGTGTAATCGTAGACATTCACGGCTGAAGAATCCTATACTAAAACGAAACTTCCATTCAATGCTTTCAGATTTTCAATGATAATCCAACATTTATCGATTCATGATCTCATTCAAAAATATAATCAAATATCGAATTCACTTCGTATTGTTTGTTTCAATCTTCCCATTGATGTTTTTTTAGGACTGCAACTGATCAGTCTCTTATTGACCATATGTGCATACTGTGTGTATTGCCTCGATATAGAATTATTTCACAAGCATTATAAACAAAGATGGACAGTCGCAAGCAGTGGACTCGTCCGTTGGATGTACCTCAGGGTTGATGTTCACTCTGGGACTCTAACCCAGTACCGTTCGCTTCAAACGTCAACGCGTTATCCACTCAGCTACTGAGTCCTGATAGCCACTTGCAATCCTAAACATCAATGGGAAGATTCAAACAAACAATACTAAGTAAATTTAAACTTCACAAGCAGGTGGCTATCAGGACTCAATAGCTAAGAGGATAACGCTATCACGTTTGAAGAGAAAGTTACTGGGTTAGAGTCTCAGAGTGAACATTAACTCTGAGATTCAAGTACATCCAACTGACGAGTCCCAATTAAGACAAAACGCGTGTCAAACTGGATTCCACTATTAGTCAATATCCATCTTTCTTTATAATAATAAAAAAATCTACTAGTTAAAACTTCTATCTATCACATTTATAATGAACATAGCAAAAATAATTTTTTTTTAAAAAATCAAATTATTGTTAATTCTTTAACCTTAAACGAATCAGTCAAATGAAAATGTTTTTTTCTTTATTTTTTTTTTAAAAAAAATTAAATACTCATTAATCACTAGGATGATTATTTATGGATGAAAAACTTTTTCAAAAAAAAAATTGAATTTTTAAATTTTTTTTTCTTAAAAAAAATTTTCATTTCAAATTCTTCAGAAGAAAAAAATTTTTTTCTTTTTTTTTAAATCTTTTTTCATAATCACTTTCATTGATATCAGGTATATCAATCATTTTTTTTAATTTTTTTTGTTTCTAATGAATTTTATTGATTTTTTTTCTAAAGTCATAAAATTTAATGATTAGTTAAATCAGAGAAATAATTTATTCTTTTAAGCATAGATACAAAAAAATTTATGTCTAACCAATTAATATATCAACAAAACATTCAACACTTTACACATGAGTAGACTCTAAATGAGTATATGCTAGTAATCAATATCATCTCATCACAGACCGAATTGCAACATTACAGATGATCGTGGAACAATCAGATGAGTGGAATTCGTCACTATACATAGACTTCACTGACGATGAGAAGGATTTTGAAAGTCTGAATTGGAGAACATTATGGAAACTTCTTCGACAATATGGAATACCTGAGAAAATCGTCAACATCATCCGGAATTCAAGAACGTACTACAGAGCAGAGTCATGCAACGAGGACAGCTGACAGACTCATTACAAGTGAGGAAAGAAGTCAAACAAGGCTGCCTACTCCCACCCTTTCCATTTCTTCTAGTGATTGACTCATCAATATACAATTAGACTATCTCAGTTAACCATATTCCATATTCATTACATCATTGATTTGAATGTCATCAGTTTATCCTAACTAACTCGATAGTATACAATGATGACTCAATTACACTACGAATGAATGAGTTCATTTTATTGCAAACTAGTTCACTTCCATCCATATTCACAATTATATTTCATACATACATTAAGATGGAATAGTTTCATCTAATGTTTAGTGATTCATTATGTGAAATCCGTTGAGGATGAAATATTCAGTATAGAGATTTGTGGGAATTGTCATTATTTACATCACTAATCAATGTTCACTGAACCACCGTTCGAAATCAGATATAAGTGGATATCGATTTTGTTGTAGTATGGGATTCCTGGTTATTGCAGATATATGACTCTTTCATAGAAGATGGAACATGTGATGTTGAGTCTCGTGTATAAACACCCGACCTGTATACCACTAAGCCTTGTTCAAATGGTTGTAGCAACTATCCTACATATATTAAGTAAGGTAATTAACACACATACGATCATATAAAAGGCAGTCAGTATCAACAAGAGAATAAGTGACAGGGTCAGAATTTGATTTGAGAATAATGAATAGACTGATTTGTTCAAAGCTTAGAATAACCTACGTGAGCTGGACATAGCACCAGCTCCTACAGTTTAAAGCCTGAACAGTTCTTGATTGAATATCGCATTAAATCATCAAATCCATACTGAATTTTTCTAAAAGAACCTAGTTATTAATTATGATTCTCAACCTGTCATATTCAAAAAGAAACATTTTTGAATGTAATTATCACACTTTTATATTTACATGTGTTATTCTTTGATGTCCTACATCCTTTTAACAGGTGTGGAAACGTTTTGATAAAGATAGAAGTGGATACATTGAGGCTGATGAATTGAAAGTAAGTGATAATTATATTTTAATAGTTGAATTCATGAGCCTATGTAAGCTAGAAAACCATAGAAAACCTGAAGGTATTGAACGGCCGTTTTGTCCCAGTACAAGATCCTTTATCAGTGAGCGTCCACAACTCCGCACCAAAGATTCGAATCCAAGACCTTCGGTTTCACGCTCGAACGCTTAACCTCTAGACCACTAAAATTGCATCCATAATACAAATAAATATCACAAGGGGGTTCGGTGGAGATTTTAGCAATTTTATATAGTTGAGATCATGAGTCAATTGAAGCTAGATAACCATGGAAAACATGCAAGCATTGTTTGATGGCCATTTCGTCCTGTTGTGGAACTCCTCAGCAGTGCGCATCCACGATCACGCCTTGAAAGATTCCAATACAGGACATATCTGTCTCGCACGCGAGCGCCTAACCACTAGATCACTGAGCTGGCCGGCATCCAACGGTTGTAATGTCTAACTTCAACCAATTCACGAAATTGAGCAACCATTCACCATTGTCTTCAGTGAGTTGATATCTAATAGCAGACCTGGTTGAACTCCACTTGTTACTGCTTCTCTTTAGAACTCCAGGAAATATCTCATTGAGCCAGTCACTAGTGAGCAAATAATATTATCAGAAGGGAGTTTTGTGGAGATTTTAGTAATTTTATATAGTTGAGATCATTAATTGATTGAAGCTAGACCACCATGGAAAAACCTGAAGTTTTAGCCCCTCATCCATATAACAACTGTAGGCAACTTGTGGAAAGTTTCGGAAATGAAAACTTCTAGTTATGTTCTGTGTGACAATAGCATCGAATAATAACATACATCATATGTGAAAACATCTATTCTAAATGATAATGATTTTAGGGACTCAAGTGCTATATATAGTGTTACATGCCTAGTCACACAATCATATTTCGGAGATATCTAAATCAATTACATCATTTACATCTAGTTCGTTTTTATCGATCATTATGTCTTCAACAACTCATTTGTTAGTGTGTCTACTATGTGTTTTCAACATCACGAAAGACCTGTACGGGTGTTAAATGTTAGTTGATATTGATATTTTCTTTGACAGACAGACAGCTAGCATGTTAGACCTAGTAGCCTATTTACCTAGATTTTTGTCCTCATATCAATCTTTTGTTACTACTAATGTCATCCAAATTAGTATATATCATGTGAATAACTAGAAACTGTCATTTACTTAGACTACATAAGAGTATACTTTTTTATAAGCAACTTGATTCTCCTGACTTGAAAACATTTAATTACATGTATACAATGGTAGATTACTTTATACATCATTTTCTCATAGTTCATTAATCTTTATGAAAGAAATATAATTTGTGAAGGCTATAATTTATGGATGACCGTTGAGCGACACCAGACTGACCTTGGAAGTTTCCGCCTACTTACTAGCATTAAATAAGGGTTATAAACCAGAGTGAGGAATTAAGATTGTGATTTATAATTGATAGTTAGGGTTACAAATTAGATTTGCAGGGTTTTCATTAAGAACTGATATCAGTTATAATGCCAAAACTTTATTTAGCAAAATGGATGAATGAATTTCACGCCAGAAACTATGACGGGTTAATCTAAATCTGGTTGGTTCGTCTATAAATTCTGGTCTCATCTATAATTTATTTTGAATAGGGTTATTCATTCAATGTCCTACACACCATCCATCGATAGACTTTCATTTTCATAATAAACATTGAACCAATACAATGACTAGTCAGTAACTACTTAATTGGGATTGATTTTAGGAATTTTAAAAAAAATAATCTACCCTATAAGCAAAGATGGATATAGACTAGCGGTGGAATCCAGTTTGACGCGCGTTTCGTTTTATTTGGGACTCGTCAGCTGAAAGTACCTGTATCTCAAAGTTGGTGTTCACTCTGGGACTCGAACCTACTGTTAGCCACTATCCATCTTTGCTTATAATGCTTGTGAATTAAGGCTTTATCGAGGCAATAAGCACAGTATGTACATATGGCCAATAAGAGACTGACCAGTTGCATTCCTAAAAAAACATCAATGGGAAAATTCAAACAAACAATACGAAGTGAATTTAATTTACCCTATATTCAATTGTTAATAATTTAGGCATTTTTAATATACTTCTTCATTTTTAATAACAGAATGGCTTATTAAATAATATAAGTAAGAGAATATGACACTGATTAATGTATTTTATTGTACTTAAAGCTATTATAACAACTAATCTGCAACCAATTTTGTTTGTCAGAAGGGGGTTTTGTGGAGATTTTAGTAATTTTATATAATTTAAATCATGAGTCAATTAAAGCTAGATCACCATGGAAAACCTGTAAGCACTGGAAGGCTATTTCGTCTTATTGTGGGACTACTCAGTGATCTAGTGGTTAAGTGCTCGCGCGCGAGATCCTGGAGGTCCTGGATTCGAATCTCACGAGACAGGATCGTGGATGCGCACTGATGAGGAGTCTCACAATACAACGATTTGGCCGTCAAGCAGTGTTTGCAAGTTTTCTATGTTTATCTAGCTTCAATTGACTCATGATTTAAACTATATAAAATTACTAAAATCTCCACAAAACCTCTTCTGATTATAATGGATAAGTTTAATCAGGTTGTATGTTTTTATCTATACTGTTTACTACAATACTATGTTTTTACAAATAATTTTCGGTATTTGGTACATCTCCCTTAAAAGAATAATTCAGTTTAGAGCAATAATAATAAAAGTTTTAGTTAGCTCAGTTACTAAAAAAAACAAACTTGAATATATCACTGATACAGTATTGAATAGAACACGAATGGGGGACAATCAAATGTATTATAGCACAACGTCACAGAATATCTCATTAAAATATGAGAACGATATAGTGAATAGTTAATTTGCAAAATAACAATCAATTATCTCAATTTGACTGTTTCTTCTGCAAATATCTATCCATAGTCTCCGATTATAATTGTTCATTCATTTTCGTACCAATTGCGTGCAGTTCTTGTTCTCTCCTTATTGATCTTTTACTGAAATACATTCAATGGCCGACCATCATCATATACTACTTATGTGGATATCAGTATCCCACAACACAGTACGATTATAGTTAGATATTAATCAGGATAACATTAAAAATCCCATTTGGAATAATAAGAAATCCCTAGCTAATTCATCGGGATTTAGTTTGACTAGATAACTTAATAGACTAGTTATATTGAACAAATTAAAAACTTTTATCTATCCCATGAATATAGTTTTTAGTTATAAACGAAAACAAGAAAACTGTCACTTGTTCGTCAAGTAAATCAACCAAAATTTCCTTTTTCTTTTATTGGTAAAGATTGACATTTTTTAAATTATTCTTTATTGATGTTCTATCTTAGAGCAGGTTAGTGTACCATCTTCATAAACCTCATTTCGACTGATATTGATTACCGGTGAAAATCAGATTCATTTTTGAAGTTAAATAGGCTTGAGAATATAAATATTTTATCTAGCAAAATAACTATAAGCAAAGATATATAATGGCTAGCAGTGGAATCTATTTAGACGCGCGTTTCTTTCTATTTGGGACTCGTCAGTTGGATTTGCCTGCATCACGTAGTTGATGTTCACTCTGAGGCTTGAATGCAGTACCGTTCAATTCAAACGTCATCGCGTTATCCACTGAGCTACCGAGTCCTGTTAGCCATTTGCTTGTGCAATCGACTGAAGTTTAAATTCATTTAGTATTGTTTGTTTGAATCTTCCCATTGATGTTTAGCACTGCAATTGATCAGTCTCTTATTCGCATATGTGTATCCTGTACGGACTGCCTCGATATTGTCTTGAGTCAAAAGCCTTATAAGCAAAGATGGATAGTGGATAGCAGTGGAATCTAGGGCTCTGATTTTGGGTTATTATAACTATCAACTTTTATCGTTAAGTTAGTTTATAATAAGAAAGATTGGTTTAGCGTAGTGTTCTCTTTTTGACCCCAAGATGATTTGTCGGAGTTCTAGTGAGAAACCGTGACCAATGGAGTTCAATAAGTGTCGGGTAAAGACAGGTATCTAACTCACACAATGGATGAATGATTGAGCAAGATCTTTAATTGACTGAAGTTAGACATTAACACCGATGGATACCATCTCAGTGGTCTACATGTTAAGCGTTTGTGCTCAAGACCGAAGGTCGTGGGTTAGAGTCTCACGTTCGGAATCGTGGATGTGCACTGATGAGAAGTTCAATACTAGGACGAAACGATCGTCTGATGCATCCAGTTTTTCAATGGTGGTCTAACATTGATGATTCCAATCAAAAGCTTAACAATCTCCACAGCCCCATACTGATAATAATTCATTTTCAAACTTGTACAATTGCAGATAAACCTACCTGCTTTTTCAGGATGATAATAATTACAATTATAATGATAATAAGCTCCCATTAGACATGGTAACAGAGAGGTAGAATAAAAAACGGTAATAAAAATTTTTTATTCAGGGAAACTAATAATAGTTTGATTGTTAATGGCTTAAATATTCATCATGAAGATAGATGAGGCAACTATCATTGGGAAAGGATGGCTCAGCATGATAATATAAAATGTTGAATTTAAGAGGATCATAGAAACAGACTTGAAATAGTTGGGGTAGAAGGTTCAAAGAGAAAACCTGCAACCACTGAACGGCCGTTTCGTCCTAATGTGGAACTTCTCAGCAGTCCGCATCCACGATCCCGCCTCGCAAGATTCAAATCTAAGACCTATCAGTCTCGCTTAGTTTACTAAAAGGCAAGAAAAAAATTGCATTTCACAACTTGTTATATCATGAGTTTATGATCTGAATATTCACTTATCCTAATTGTTACTACATTCACATGAAAAGTATTTCGGTAGCACGACTATATAGTAAATGTTCGCTAAACTGTGGGATCTCTTGACTTACTTGACTACTTTAATACAAATACTCAAACTCCTTTAATTTATTTCATAATAATGAACCATTAATATCATAAGGTAATGTGCGTCATATGAGACTGAATCCGGATGGTATTAATGAGCGTCTAATGCACTGTTACAGTGCGTCAGCCCATTTTTCATTAAAAATCTTCTCGTTTTTAACCGTTAATTCTATCGGCTTAATTGACCATACTTCTAAATCGCTAGACTTATACGAATGATATTCCTTCACATTCCTGTATCAGTTCTGAAAACAAAAACTGTATAAACAACAGAACGTAAGAAGACTACCCAGAGTAAATTTAAATATTATTATCAGTAACGGCGACTACTTTGAAGAAAATGCGAGTGATGTATTCTAGCGCTTGAATAATAGCGTACTTCATTCATTAGATTTATTATTTCTTATACTGAGAATGATTTCATAATCACTTGAAAGTAAAATTCTATTTAACCTGTAATAAATACTGGTTTTATATTCTACAGTCATTCCTTCTACACTTACTGAAAGAAGCAAAACCGGAAACTAATATTGAAGAAGCCAAGTTAATCGAGTATACTTCATCCATTGTAAGTTCTTTTTTCTATTGCTTGATATTTTCTGTTAAAAAATACATCTTTTATATGAAATGAATGTAAAATTAAAGTACAAATATGTAAATCTTGAAAGTTGAGATCATGAATCAATTGAAACTAGACCACCATCGAAAACCTGGAAGCACTGGACGGCCGTTTCGTCCTATTGTGGGACTCCTTAGTAGTGCGCATCCACGAACACGCCTCGCGAGATTCGCACCAAGGACTTATCAGTTTCACGCGTATAGCACTTATCCGCTAGACCACTGTACCGGTATCCAACGATGTTAATATCTAAATATCAAATCATACAAATCACATCTTTTAGAGGTAATTAGAACTAACTACCTTCTCACGATGGGGGTGTATTTTACGAAATTGAGAGAATGAAAATCAAATGTTCGACGCTTTAACCAGGTTGATAGATATGGAGAATCAAACTAGAGGAGTTTGATAACTCTGACTTCAAAATAATCGTGCACGTGGGCTTCAGGATTCTGAGGGAATAAATAGTGTATGAACCTAGTGTTGGTCACTGACTACCATGCAACTGCATCTCCTAACGTTGTTCCACTGCCTTGTGGATTAGACCTCTAGGTTAAGGGCTTGAGGTATAGCTCCATAACAAAACCATCTACTTCAGTTTTGGTACCCGGACAGTATCCCAGCCTTCATACAAATCAAATGATTTGTGAGGTGAACATATATAAATATATATAAATAAATACAGAACTAATAATACATCGTTTCTGAAGACTGTTCAAGTGTAGATTATTTTTAATCAGGAACTGATGTCACCTATTGAAAATCACAGTGTATTATAGTTCTCATGTAGCTTTTTTATGGGACCAGTCAATAATGCACACTTATAATCATACAAACAATCAAAGGTTAGATCTTCATACTGTGTAGTAACAGTCTTCAGGTCAAGAATCAATCAATTAATTTCACGAACATTACAAATTGAATGAAAACATTTTGACTATTAGACTAAAACTCCTTCAAATATTATACTCATTAAATGATCTAAAAGTTTGAACGGATCTTCCAGTTACAAAAGATATAAGAGTAATCACATATTAATTATCAGAAGGGGGTTTTGTGGAGATTTTAGTAATTTATATGGTAGAGATCATGAGTCAATTGAAGCTAGACCACTATCGAAAACCTAGATGCACTGGACGGATTGGTTGAGGTTAGACATTAACACCGTTGGATTCCGGCTCAGTGGTCTAGTGGTTAAGTACTCTGGCGCGGGGCTGGTAGGTCCTGAGTTGGAATCTCGCGAGGCGAGATCTTGGATGCGCACTGCTGAGGAGTCCCACAATAGGACGTTTTGGCCGTCAAGTAGTGCTTCCAGGTTTTTCATGGTGGTCTACCTTCAATAGATTCATGATCTTAACTATATAAAACATATGAATTAGCTGAAATAAACTAAAAAGTCATCATTTAATCTCTAAATTTAGGCTTCAATTAGGTCACTAAGGTATAATGTTTTTTTTAAATCATGTTTTCGGATTAATTTAATTATCCGACAAATTGGTAAACAATATCGAATGTTAATAAAATTAACTCAGTTTAAGTTTAGATTATTCAATCGATAGAAAATTAAAAATGTTCACTCACAGATCTAACTAACAAAACATACTGTGACATGGAACTATGTTTTGACATTTACAACATAAGTAAACCACTAAAACATGTTATAACTTGTGGCTTTGTGCCCTATTAATATATAGCATAATGATACTGTCAATTAGAGAACAGTGAACTATCGACTGGACCAACAACGCATAAACCTATACGAACAGTCTGAAGTCCTTATCGATACTTCTAATTTACTAGCCTTATCTGTTGAATCCGGAACACCAATCCCAGCCTCCGTGATATGAATAATATATTTCAAACATACTAGATTTATATGCAAACCAATGAGACCACATCATATCATAAAATAGAAAATAACATTTATACATGATCAAGACAAAAAGTGGCTACACTCCTACGATTAATTTTGAATACGGTTAATTTTTGTCATACCCTTTTATTAACATATTTGACAAACAATGTTTTTCAAACAATAACAAAATTCGAGATAAATGGTTGCTCAATTTCGTGAATCAGTTGAAGTTAGACATTAACACCATTGGATGCCAGCCGGCTCAGTGGTCTATAGGTTAAGGGCTTTGGTTCGAGACTGGTAGGTCCTGGGTTCGAATCTCGCGAGTGCGGGATCGTGGATGCGCATTGCTGAGGAGTCCCATAATAGGACGAAACGGCCGTCCAGTGCTTCCAGATTTTCCATGATGGTCTATCTTCAATTGACTCATGATCTCAACTCTATAAAATAACAAAATTCGTCTATTTCTCTGTATTATTATCACCAATATCATGTCAGTATAGACGGTGTACTCTTGATCACATATAACAGCCTACACATATATCTATCTCAAGCTTAAATCTTAATCGCTTTGATATTACTCGATCATTCATTCTCTTCTCCATGTATATATGTACTGGAATCCTAGTAATAATAAACTTTGCCTTGACTCGCTACACCATTATTCGATTTGACTATAAATTCACTTCTGTATTCGCTTGCTCTTAGACATATTAGCCTGTGCTCCAATTCTCTGGATATGATTATATCTTTGTTGTTTGTACTATCCACATGTAAACTGTAATCACTTCTTCTTATTGCCTTGTGAATTCAAATACGACTGGAGATTTATATGATAGTGGTTATCAAGGTGATCGATTATAAAAACTTAGCCACAACACTCTAACATGATGAAACATGAAACATAGAAATCTTCATAATTGTTTGATAATTGCAGAAAGGGTTTGTCTAATTCAAATTGTCCTGAAGTTGCTTATTAATCTTTTCATTTCATCTTTTGTAAAGCTTCAGTTATTCGATCAAAATAAAGATGGTAAACTTCAACTCAGTGAGATGGCACGGTAAGTTTTGTTTCAATTAAATATTAAATCTTATGGAATATAGATATATAATATTGATGATCTGACTTAATGAACTCCTGATGAGATTGCATAAATAGCATCTAAAAATACAGAAAGATACAATCTTGATGAATGAGAATATAAATGGGGGCAACCGAATGTACCCGAATATAGAATCACAGAACCTCTTAGTAAAATCTGAGAACCATACAGTACATACATCAATCAGTTGTCTCAAATTTGACTGTTCCCTTTGCAAATATGATCTCAGACTTCATTGTTCTTTCGTTTCCACACCAGCCGTTCTTTGTTCTCATTCTTTTTCCTTCAATTTCCTTAACCTTTTGTCTCCAGACATTTTACTAGTGATTTATGTCACATACTACTTATATCTAACGACATCAGTAGCACACACCACACGATGGCTAAACATTTTTTTTTCTTCAAAATAACATCAATTCTATCAAGAAGTAATCAATATTTTCGTCATGAACAACTTTCTTTTTCTTCATAAAATGGTAATATTAATGCCATTTTATTCTACTACGGAAACTAAACATATAAAGCAACCTTCTAGTAAACGAAAGCCTTAAACAATAATATAGACAATCATTTATTATAGAATTCTAGCTAACAAAATATTTAGTACAAAGTTTACGGTTGCTATGTAACATTTACTGTTCTGAGACTCAGATAAAATTGTAGTTATCATACCTTTCGGTGAACTATTTGATAGAAGTCAAACCTATGGTTATAAGATTGATAGGTCTATGGTCTGTATTACGTCAATAATCTTGTCTCTTATAATAATAATCTAAATTTTGTTTACCAACTTTATTTTCACCTTTCATTTGATATTACTGACAACCAATGATACAGGAATTCAGTCAAAACAATTTATAAATCATATCGTTTGAAAATATATAATCTTACCTCTTCTAAGTGGTATCATCCCTTTTGTAGTGAAATAATAGACTTAGTTTTAACAGCATGTATTCTCTAATCATTACGAACTATAAAAAAATGGTATGTTGTGTGTTCGCAGGTCGGGATTATCAATATGTAATGCCGTGCTTCGTTAATAGTTCACCTCGATAACCGTTATAATACAAGTCTTAACGGTGCATAATATCAGAGGGCAAAGGGAAGCGGCAACTACATTTTTATTGACAAATAATGAAGGCCAGAAAGCTGTTAGCACATGAGCAAATGTTAGCGAGCGAAGCATAAATAAGACGCATTGAAGATGGCTGGTAAGCCAACTCGAGAGCGAAGCGAAAATAAAGCGTATTGGAGATGACGGGGAAGTCAACTCATTTCAAGCAAGCGCTAATCAAAATTTATAGTCAGACAAAAATGAATGACAGACATGCGATGAATAATATACGAAGTATGCACAAATATACGCTCATAAAAAAATTACTCAAGGTTAATAAGCAATAATGAACAAGATCAAAATATGATTCATAATGTATAGGTGAATTAGCTTGGCCAGTAGCTAGAATAAAGTATATGGGCTTGACATATGAAATGATACTACAGATATACCTTGAATGAAGAAAGTAACGAGTTGTATTTTTTTGGATAAAAACACTACCTATTGAACTCTAGTGATCAACTTACAACTACGTCACTAAATTATTAGACTCGAACAATCAATTGTCTCAATCTTGATTGTTCCTTCTGCAAATATCAATTCGTCTTCTCTGATTATTATTGTTCATGCATTTTCGTACCGATTGCACTTCATTCCTGTTCGTTCCTTATCGATCTTCTACTGAAATGCATTCTATGTCTGACCATCACCATACACTAATTATATGGATATAAGTAGACCACACTACAGTACTAACTAGCTCATGTAGATGATTCATGTAGAAGCTTACCCTAATTATAATTTCTTATTATTATTATTATTAAGTAGAGTATACTTTCCTACTTACCACGGTATGAATCAAGATGTCATTTAGACTGACAATGTTTATTTATGATTTATTAACTCATATTCTCCATCATTCTGACTCTTTCAGATTACTTCCTGTTAAGGAGAACTATTTATGTAGACCAATTTTTAAGGTAATGTCAATAAATTCTAATGATATATGTTAATACTAATGTAAATCAAGATATGTTTGTTTTTGTTTTTTTTGGTTTATTTAAATAGACTACTTATTGATCATTAAATGATGGTCATTTCAATAAAATTAACTTCATATTGACATAAGCCGATACAGTAAATGAGATGAAATGAGTAGTATAAAGGATAAATGATAAACTATAATTTTAATCTATTTAAATTGTTGAATAAATGTATAGAAATTTCTTTCCTTCACGTTGATATACTGGATTTATAAGTAGTATAATAAGTGTATAATTCATTTTTTTTAATATAAAGAATAATAGAATTTTCATAGTTGAAAGCGTGAGTCAATTGAAGCTAGACCACCATGGAAAACCTGAAAGCACTGGACGGCTGTTTCGTCCTATTATGGAACTCCTCAATAGTGCTCACCCACGATCCCGCACTCGTGAGATTCGAACCCAAAGCCTGCCAGTCTCGATCCAGAGCCCTTAACCGATAGACCACTGAGCCAGCTGGTATCCAATGGTGTTAATGTCTAACTTCTACCAATCCACGAATTTGAGCAACCGTTCACCAATAGTCTTCAGTGAGTTCCTATCTCACAACAGACGTGGTTTGAACTCCACTGGTCACTGCTTCTCACTAGAACTCCTGGGTGTACTTCTCGGTCAGTCACTAGTGAGCATATGATTATATTAATTATCAGAAGGGGTTTCAATTATGAAAATACTAAGAATCTCCACAAAACCCCTTCTGATAATTAAAATAATAGAATTAATATATTACTTATTCAAAGTACTCAAAGTATACTATTACTAGTACTACTGTAGTGAATGCGAACATAACTAAAGACAAGCGACCGTATTTAGCATAAAATTACAGAGTGACTTTATGAAATAAAAAAATCATACTCCAATATTTCATTTGTAAAATGTCCATGAATTGTCATAGACTTTGTTGTTCCTGTATTTCGATACTAATTGCTTTTTGTTCCCGTTCTTTCCATCTCGATCTTCTCAATATTTTATTGTCAGACATTCTTTACCTGACTATGATTAAATACTACTTAGATTGATATAAGTAGTACACACTACATTACTAATACTACACTGTTAAATCACTTGGAATATTGAATAATTTTTTCTGGTTAGCGTTTTTTTAGTGAGTTAGTTTTCTAAAGGATGGAGTCGCTAACTCCATGCCCAACCCTCTTCTTTTATCCGCCTTTGGGACCGGCAGTATCCCCCAGTTGAGCTACAGGCGGAATTAGTTGGAATATTATTTAGTCATATAACTTATTAACAGAAGAACAGTAATGAAGGCTTAAACTGTCCATCAACCTATAAACAACACTGCATTTTATGGTGCCTAATGGAATTTTAAAGAAAATTTAGCTTTAAATCAGGAAGAAGCCAGATCCAATGTTTCATTTGATAGTAAGAGTTATTATTACTGTTGTTAAAAGTAAGGTCAACGGCAATTCTTATAGGAAATATATAGTAGATATATGTAATGTATTTCAATTTAGGAAGTAGTTTCTTTTTTCATCTTCTGAATTGATAAGTCTCGTAGATTGAAGGCTATATTCGGATCCTAAGCTAGTCTCGTAACCCCCTAGCTAGAACTACGCAGTGACTTGAACACGAACGAAAATGCGTAAAATATGTGAGAAGCACTTGACTTCAAAGGTTCATTTATGTACAGAAAATATAGGGTTTTTATGGTAATTTAGATGTCCTTGAATTTTCCTGAAAATTCTAGAATACTACTAAGCATAGAAGCAGTGAAGTAGTCAGCCAATCAGAACCTCTACATGTGACTTTTCACTTTCGCGATACTTCTAGGAAAACTTCTAATCAAACGCTGATTGGATAAAATGCTTCTTAATGTTTCCTGAGCTTGCCATGTCTATTGCGAGAAATTTTCAGGATCATCCCAACAGAATAGACTTCAAAGATAAAATATTTATTATTTTTTTTTAGATAGTGTAATAAGAAGACGAAGATTCTCTGCAGAGATTTAGGCTTCAGAAACAAATAAAATCAAATGATCCTATAAGAGTAGATGATAATCATCCATTATCCTATATTGCCAAACGCATAGTTGAAACAGGTTATAAGATTGATCTTAACACGGCTTTTGTGGTGTTGTACAAAAGCGTACAAAAGTGAAGTCTTAGCCATAGGATAATTCAAACCCTCTTTGTGTATACAAAAACAATTTGTTCTCATCTTAAACTTACCCTGATAATGTTAACTTATTATCCAGAAATGATTAGGTTTCAAATTGTTTTCACATTATTTTCCTTATTATCCTTGTCTCCTCTTATCCTTCATTTCTAGTCTAGTTGTCCTTTTATTCCTCAGATATAAATGTTCTTAATAAGTATATGTGTGTTCAAATTGTTCAAAATGTATTATGCTAATATATATATCACAAAGTCCTAATTACAACATGGAGAACACCAAACAATCACACTTGATGGAGAAACTCTGGAAGAGGTGGAAAAATTCACGTATCTTGGAAGCATCGTTGACGAACAAGGAGGATCAGGTGCAGATGTAAAGGCGAGGATTGGCAAAACAAGGACAGCATTTCTACAATTGAAGAACATATGGAACTCAAAACAACTGTCAACTAACTTCAAAGTGAGAATCTTCAATACGAACGTCAATACAGTCCTGCTGTATGGAGCTGAAGCGTGAAGAACTACTACATCCATTGTCAAGAATGTACAAATATTTATAAACAGTTGTTTACGCAAAATACTCAACATTCACTGGTCGGATACTATCAGCAAAAGCGTTTTATGGGAGAGCACAAACCAGCTTCCAGCTGAAGAGGAAATTAGGAAAAGACGTTGGAAGTGGACGAGACATACATTAAGAAAATCACCAATGTGCATCACGAGGCAATCCTCAACTTGGAATCCGGAAGGGAAGCGGAAAATTGGAAAGCCAAATAACACATCACACCGGAAAATAGAATCAGATATGAAAAGGATGAATAACAACTGGAAACAACTGGAAAGGATCTCCCAGAACAGAGTTGAATGGATAATGCTGATGTGCAGCTTATGCTCCTCCACGAGAGGTAACATGCGTAAATAAATAAGTAAGTAATAGTCCTCATAATCCTCTTCATCAAAGAGATCAATTACTTCATATTTATTTTTTGTTATAGAATGCTTCAAAAATTACATCAGCTGATATTGATCGAGCATTTTCACTTTATGATTTAGTAAGTAAAATATTTTATTCATTTAATTAAACTGTGATAATTTATGAACCCTCATGAACCCTTAGTATAACTTGTTTAAATTTTCTCATTGATATTTAGGACTGTAATCAGTCAATCTCTTATTGGTATAGGTACATACTATGCGTATTGCACCCTGTTAACAATTTCGAATTATAATTTAAATTAAAGATATCATGGTAAACATTATAAATTTGGAATAGTAATTTGGAATTAAACGGTCCACATTCCGAGCATGGATCTATTCATGAAATAGAGTAACAATTATTCAATGTTGTCGGTGAAGTTTGTTTTACTCTAGACATTGTTAAACTCTATTTATCATGGATTCTCGCTAGAAATTTAATCCTTCAACGCTATTCATTATTAGATAAGAGTTTGTTGTTAATTTAGGTCATTAAATCCACTGTTCTTTAACTAGTGATGATCATTGTTTTAATTTGAGTTCATAAGAAATGGAGAATAATATTGTTACATTGAGATGGTTGTTATTAATAGATTTAGATAATCATGGCTTATGATTACTGACTTACTGATGATGTCATTAAAAAGCTTGGACAAGGTTGCCAGGCGAAAGGTTGGAATTACATCAAATTCATTCGCTGAGATTTTACATATATATATTCTTCCTATTTAATGTCTTACATCAAATCGATCCCCAAATACTGTGAAACTATTCGCTCTAATTTAGACGAAAGGTCTTATATAATAATGTCATTGTTGATCATTTTTATACAATTTCTCAACATATAATCACTCTCAGAAGAGGTTTTGTGAAGATTTTATTAATTTTATATAGTTGAGATCATGTGTCACTGCTAAGGAGTCCCATTCTAGGACCAAACGGCCGTCCAGTGCTTCCAGGTTTTCCATGGTGGTCTAGCTTCAATTGACTCATGATCTCAACTACATAATCGCTCTGATAATTAACAGATATGAATATCTTAAGGTTTAATCTTTTATGAGATCCCTTCTATTTACAGCTGAGTATGGATTAAATGTCCAAACAATTTTATTACTTAGTGAATTTGTAATCTGATATTAGATTTTGTAAAGTTTTCTTAAATCATAAAATCATATTGTTTTTTATCAGTAATCTTGAAAGTCTTGATGAGAGATGAGACTACAAATACTACAGAAATACCTTCCTAATAAGTACCAAAAAGCACAAAACGTGAATACAAAGCTTTATGACGACTACCTTCGACGAACTGATAATATCGTTTATTATTTTAGTAGTATCGTAACCAACTTTATTGTGTTATTCTCATTCTACAAGACCATTATAAAATGATTCATTTACATTGAAATCATGAACTGATTAGTTTTGGAGCACCATTTAAAACAAAAAAGGCACTGAATGCCCGACTCGTCCTATTATGATACTCGTTATCAGTACCCATCAGTGACTCTTTATTAACGTTTAACCTGTAAACCAATGAACTAGCATTCATTGGTATTTACACAATTTATAGGATTGTAGTTAAGTTAAACATAAAAATATTTTCATAGTTGAAATCATGAAGCTAGACCACCACGGAAAACCTGGAAGAACTGGACGGCCTAAATTGTGGGACTCCTCAGCAGCGCGCATACACGATCCCACCTCACAAGATTTGAACCCAGGACCTATCATTCTCGCGTGCAAGCACTTAGCCGATAGACCACTGATTCGGAATCCAAAGGTGTTACTGTTATTCTCCACTAAACCCCTTCTAATTATGAAAACATTTTTTAATACAAATCTAATCTGAAGTGGATAATTCGTTAAGAATGATCATATTTAATTAAACATAATCTAAGTAATATCTTCATACTTGTTAGTTCATTTGAATACTATTTGTTTTTTGTTGTATATTAATAAATTATATATGATGATACTTAGTATAGTATAAGTAAGTTTTATTTTTACTAAACAAAGCAATTAACAGAATGAAAATTGGTGGAGATTATGGTATTTTCACAGTTGAATTCATAAGTTGATATAAGTTAGATCATCATTGAAAATTTGGAAGCACTGGACGGCCGTTTCGTTCTATTATGGAACTCCACAAGAGTAAGCATTCATGACCCCCACGTGGGACTTTTATGCATTAACGCCTAACCCATAGATCAATGAGCCTTTAACCAATAGTGTTAATGTCTAACTTTAATCGATCCATGGTCTTGCACAATCTTTCATCCATTTTCTTCAGTGAATAACTGTTCCTCAACCGACACGAACTGGACTACACTGGTCACTGTTTCTCACTAGAACTCAAAGAAATCTCTCATGAAACTAGTCATTAGTGAGCACATGATTATTATCAGTATTAAGATTTATGAAAATTATAGTATTTTCACAGTTGAGTTCATAAGTCGATCTAAGCAATTACTTTACTTTGTGTATAATATTTATCAACATATATCAATAGGTCAAAGTTGAAATCATGAGTCAATTGAAGCTAGACCACCATCGAAAACCTGGAAGCACTGGTTGGCCGTTTCGTCCTATTATGGGACTCCTCAGCAGTGCGCGTCCACGAACCCGCTCTCGCAAGATTCGAACCCAGAACCTACCAGTCTCGAGCCGAAGCCCCTAACCGATAGACCACTGAGCCAACCGGCATCCAATGGTGTTAATGTCTAACTTCAACTGATCCACGATAGGTGATCCAATAGGTGATTTTTATATACAAAATAGAATAAATATATAATACTAGCAGTGGAATCCATCTTCGCTTATAAAGCTTATGACTTCAGGTAATATCAAGACAGTTCGCACAGGATGCCTGTATGCTAACAAGAAACTGATCAATTGCAGTCCAATATAATAATAGGAAGATACAAGTAAACAACACCAAATGAATTTAAATATATAAGTTTTTTTTATAAATAATAAATTTCATAATAGTTAATATTTTATTATATTAGGATGCAAATGGTACAATAGAAGATGAAGAATTATCAGGATTTCTTAAAGATTTGTTAGAATTAGCACAAGAAGTAAGTAGATAGTAATAAATTAATTGATTCTAGATATGTGTATATTAAATGTATACATACACTTTGTTTCCTATATGAATGGATACAAAGTGGAGATGTTTATGAGCATAGGTCGCCGACTAGCATTCTCCAACTCAATCTGTCCTGGACCTTCTTTTCTAGTTCTATCCAGTTGTTGTTCATTCTTCTCATGTCATTCTCCATTTCTCGGCGTAATATGTTCTTCGGTCTTCCTTTTCTCCTTTGGCCTTCAGGGTTCTATTTGGGAGCTTATCTTGTGATGCAGTTGGATGATGTCCTCAATGTGTGTCCTATCCACTTTCATTGCTTCTTCCTGATTTCTTCCTCCACTGGATGGAATCTAGTTTGTTCTCTCCCAAAATAGAATGTTTCTGATAGTGTTTGGCCAACGGATCCGAAGTACTTTACGTAAACAACTGTTATTAAAAACTTTTATCTTATGGATGATGTCTTTTGTAGTTCTTCAAGTTTCCACCCCATACAGTAGAACTGTTTTAACACTTGTATTGAAAATTCTGATCTTTGTGTTGGTTGACAATTGTTCTGAGTTCCAGAGATTTTTCTGTTGTAAATATGTTGTTCTAGAATTGTCGATCAGCGTCTTCACATCTGCATCAAATCCACCATGTTTATCAATGATGCTACCCAGATATGTAAATGTTTTCACATCGTCCAATGCTTCTTCGTGAAGTTTGATTCGATTGGTGCAGTTGCATGTTGTATAGGAGAATCTTGCTTTTTCCTTTGTGTATATTGAGACCTACTGCTGCTGTGGCTGCTGCTCCACTGGATGGATTGATTTTAATTAGACTATTATTAAAAACTATGAAATGACTCAAATACTTTTAATCTTTCATTTTACTAAATTATTGCACACATCAATAAAGCAGTATAATACCATTATCTATAATATTAAGTTACCTTTCTTTTTAAACTTAAGACAAATTAAGGTTATAAGCTTTTGAAATTCTAATTTCAATCAAAGAAATTTAAAAGATGAGAAATTTTTTATCTAAGATTCAGTGTAATCCATGAATTTGTTAATTTTTTTACAAAGCTGATGCTTATTCCAACATTCTTATGTAACATTATTGCTGAAATAAATTAAAAAAACGATTATCGTTTATAAGCAAAGATCTCATGGTAACTAGCAAACTAATCCAAAAATCATGAATTCCTCTGCTAGCCAATATCCATCTTCGTTTAAAATACTTATATTCTAAAGTAATATTGAATCAATGCAAACAGGATATACATATATACATATATAAGAGATTGATCAATTGGAATCCTAAATATTAATTAAGAAGATTTAAACAATCAATACAAAATCAGTTAAATCTATCCTTGAGTTGTTTATTTGACTTTGGATATTTCATATTATGTTCTCTTTTTTCTCCGAAATGCCATGGTATGGCCGAGAGTACATAGAGTCCGCTCTCCCTCTCCAAATGCTTTCACATGGACACGCGCATATAGCATCTGTCAGGGAAATCCTATTCTCATGGCATTACTGTTGTTTACGAAATTGAGAGATTGAAAAGCGATAGTCCGGTGCTTTAACCGAGTTGGTGGACACGGGAAGTTCACGTAGGGGAGTTGGAAAACTTTGATTCCAAACCAATGGTGCACATGAGCTGGCTCCAGTATCGTGAGGGAAAAAATGGCGTATGAATCAATCGCTGGTCAACGACTACCATGGTACTGCATCTTCTCACAATGTTCTATTACCTTGTGGATCAGATCTTTAGGTCAAAGGCTCCAGGTGTGGCCCCCTAAAGAAACCACCTGCTTTAGTTTGGGCACTTAAGCAGTATCACAACCCTCACACAAATCAAATGAGATTTCTGTGTTGCATATATATCTGGTGCCCCTATGTATCAATATTTATGTGCTTAAATAAATAAATAAAAATAAAGTTTTAATGTATTTTCATTTAATATAGTTGAGATCATGAGTAAATTGAAGCTAGACCATCATGAAAAACCTGAAAGCACTGGACGGCCGTTTCCAAGTTTTTCATGATGGTCTAGCTTCATTTGACTAATGTTCTCAACTCTATAGAATTACTAAAATCTCCACAAAAATCCCCTTCTTATATTTCTATTTTGTTTTTATTTTTACAGGATTATGATGAAGATGATTTAGAATTTTTCAAAAAAGTTATCCTTAATCAATGGGATGTAAATAAGGATGGTAAAATTAATCGTGATGAATTAAAAATGATGCTTATGCAACAATCACGTTTATTAAGTGATAAACTTTAAAAAAAAAATTTATTGAATTATTTATTCGTTACTAACTACTCTTAAGTAGTTATGTTATCGATTTTCAAACGAAAAAAAAAGAGAAAAAAGAAAAAAAAGAAAAACAAGTTGAGGAGGATGATAATAATGACGAAAGCAAATTTCTACCTCGATGATAACTCCTCTCTAAGTTTCTTTTCTTTTTTCACTAAATAACACTGTCATATATGTCATTCTTTTCTTTTCTTTTTTTTCTTCTATATCTATCTATCTATCTATCTATCTATCTATCTATCTATCTGTCATTCTTTCTCTATAGTTTATTCATTGATATACGTGCATTTTTATTCCATGAAGCCTATTTAATTGCCTATAATTGTTTCCGCTTATTTTAAAAGAAAACACACATACACACAACAACAAAAAACAAGTATCTGTATACATGATGTCATTTATTTTATCATTATATCTTTTCATTAAAATAATTAGTAATCAATACTATTACTTACTTAGTTAGTTACTTACGTAGTTACGCCTGTTACACCTCGTGGAAGTGTATAGGTTACAGGTGGAGTTTTTTTTTTAAAAAAATCACATAGTGATAATAATTTTTAATCCTTCATTTATAGTGAACTAATTTAACGACAGTACTACTATTATTCATTATAGTAATATACTCTAGTTTACCAGCAAAAAAAAAATAATCATCACCATCATCATTAGTTTTAATGTTTTTCTTTTTTTGAAAAAAAAGAAAAATGGAACATTCATTATAACACTGTAACACATTACATAATCATCTTTACATTTGAATATAGAGAAATTATTCAATTGTATCATTCATATTATTTATCTATAATTTGATGGAATCTTCTTTTTGTTGTTGTTGTTGTTGTTGTTGTTTTGTAATCAAGTACTCTTGATGATACTACTAATAAAGATTATAGTAATCTCTTTTTGTCCATGTATGTTTTATTCAAACTAAGCAAAGTTGTGTTAGTGATGAAACATTAAAATACTTTAATGAATCATATATGTAGCTGACTTCAGTTTAATCGTATGATGAACTAAACAACCCTGATATTCTTGTGTATAATTGTGGACTAAAATCATGTTAGTGAATAATGGAATTAAATAAGTCAAATACAAAGATAAATTTCTAATACATATTTTTTTGTACAATCGTTGATTAGAACAAACAATCAGAGAGATTGTGCAAAGGACCAAAGAGGAGAGAACGAAGAAAAATGATCAGCGGTGAAGAAGGTATGTAAACCAACTTAATTGAATCAAATGTGAATCGATATTTATAGTCAGACAAATATAAGTTACAAGTATGTGATGGGTAAGATATTAGAAATGCACAAATATACGCTTCCAAAAAAACAATAATAGATTGATTTTTTCCACAGACTATAATAATCTATGTAAGCTCGATAATAAGGTTAGCCATTACAATACTAAATAACTTCAAGTTTTGATCATTTAGTTAATGGATAATGCTGAAATGCAATATATAGAGACCTTAACTATACTGTAATTCAGAGTAGTTTGCATATAATACTTTATAAACATCATATTGTAGTGAACGAGAAAACAAATGGAGACAATCGAATGTATTTGAACACAGAATTATAGAATATACTAGTCAAATTTGAGAATCATACAGTAAATAATTCATTTGCAAAAATGTTTGTTTCTACATCAATCATTCTTTCTACTCATTATCTTTTCTACAATTTTCTTAACCTTTTGCCTTCAAACATTTCATTTATGATTTATGTTACATACTACTTATATCTATCGACATCAGTAGTACATACAACAATATATAAACTAAATAAACTAATTCTTGAAGAAGCGACATACTTTATGTTTAAATTAATCAAGATTGTTTTGTTTTCAATATCATGAATAATTCATATACAAGACAGCTTACTGATATGTAATACTATACAAGATGATTAAACCTAAACTAAACTAAGGTGACTAGTTATGTTAACCAGATACAAATTAAATTATATCTAGATAACATAATAGAACTCATTTGACTATTATAAAAAAAATACACTTTAAGCTTTTAGTACTATTTACATTGAACTACAGTGTATATGTTACTAATATGTAATACTGTTTAAATATTTCATCTGCAAGATCATTTTTCCAATGTCAATTATATGATTATTCCAATATGGTCTATATAAACATTGATTTCAGTCATTTTATATCGTTTCTACAATTCATCAGCTCATCAGCTGATAGATCTAAATAACTTATTGGCTTAACTAAATGTCAGTAATTAATCTAGATATTAATTATCAGAAGGGTTGTTTTTTGGAGATTTAGTATTTTTCATAGTAGAAAGCATGAATCAATTGAAGCTAGACCACCATGGAAAACCTGGTCGTCCAGTGTTTCCAGGTTTTCCATGATGGTCTAGCTTCAATTGACTCATGCTTTCAACTAATCTAGATATGTTAAAAAAAAAACTTCGAAAGAGAGGAAGATAGTATTTATAATAAAAGAAAAAGAAACCAACACCGTTGTAAGGATAAACTGAACAATAAAAGGTAATTAAGTATAGTGAAATATATGTGTTCAATCATTCTTCAGTATTCTTAACATAGGTACAATATATGCGGCAAGTTTTAGTTTATCTCAGTGTTCATACACTCTTTGACAAAAATATTCATCTACCTGTGATATAAATAAAATGTAGTTTAAGAATACAGTCTAAGATTCATCTAATTCTCAACCATTATTGTTGATTTGGTTAATTGTATGGATAACATATGAATTTATAACACTTTTGCCACAAACTGATTGCAACTGGTATCTGGTACTATCACTTAATCAAGTGATTGGAAACAAAAATTCAAATTGATCCAGTGATCCAAAGGTTTAGACTTAGAGATTCTGACATTGATCTCTTAATTTTATTTAAATGATATTTGACGATATAATTTATGTAGAAACGTTTCTTCTATTCAACAGATTCACCTGATTATATTGCAGAGTAGAAACTCCCAAAGAGACTCAAACATTAAGACCATAATTTTAAACGCTTGATCATTGTCTTCAGACAAATGAGTTGGAATTTTCTTCATGATTAGGATTAATTTTACTGCATAAGCCACCAATACTGCGTTTAAATCACTATGGGAATATCAATACAAATCCATACTTATCTAGGTGACTAGCTCAAAATCAAACAAATAGTAATTTTAATAGTCGAGATCACGAATCTATTGAAGCTAGGCCACCATGGAAAACCTAGAAGCACTGGATGGCAGTTTCGTCCTATTGTGGGACTCCTCAGTAGTAGTAATTTCTAAAGATATAATCAACCCGTATATATGAAGCTACGAATCAACAAGCAATGATCTATTTAATTTTAAGTCACTGCTTTAATTGAATATTTATGTTTCTCGAAGATAGCTAAACATGATTGAATTTAACAGACTGTCCATAATTGTTAAAATTTCTGGTTTCTAGAAGTATTCAGATTGTTTTTCTTGAGACAAATAATTTCCATTTCCTACCTTAGTGTTTCTTCTATACTTTAAAGATTGAGGCTTTTATTCGCTTTTTATACAGTACATGTCATCTGGTTTATTTTAAGTCAGTCAACGTAATTATCTTTCATTAGTCAATGATAAAAGTGTGGTGTGGGCTACTTATATCCATATAAGTAATATATGGTGTTGGTCAGACATAGAATGTATTTGGGCAGAAGACCGATGAGGAAAGAACTGAAACGAAGCGCAATTGCTAGGGAAATGCACGAATAATGGAATAAGAGAAGAAACAGTGAAGATCGAGACTGTTGGTTGTTAATTTGCAAATTGACTGTCCATTGTATGGTTTTCAGAATTTACTGAGATAGTCTGTAATTTGTGCTTATATACATTCGATTGTCCCCAACCAGTGTTTTTCTGTTCACTACAAAAGGATTCCAACTAATGTTTTCATAAATACTGAAGGCTAACTACTTTCATTAACAAGTGTGATTGACGATTCTGATGAAGACAGTAGTCGATTCAATAAAAGTATTCAGTCTACTCACATTCCACACACTTTCATATACACATATTACACATTTCTGTCTGAATGTATTTAACTATCGTAATGATCTCTTCATCTCTCATCCCAAAACTGTATAATGTGTATAAAGATGCATACATGATATTATTATGATTGATGTATCAGTGTAATTTAAAAATATTCCACCTATTATTTGTTCGGACTGTAGTATCAGTTTATGTGTTAAGCCCATATACTTTATTCTAGTTGCTGGCCTAGCCAATTCGCCTATCCATTATGAGTCACATTTTGATCTTGTTAATCATTTGCTTATTAACCTTGACTATACTTTTATATGAGCATACATGTGTACACTTCGTATCTTATTCATCATATGTCTGTCACTCATTTTTGTCCGACTATAAATGTTGATTAACGCTTGCTTAAATCGAGTTGGCTTCCCAGCCATCTCCACTGCATGTCATTTCCGCCTCGTTCGCTTCCTTTGCTTATTCGCCTGTTCACTCGCTCTCTCGCTTGCCGCTCACTCGCTCGTTGATATTCGCTCAGGTGTTGCTAACTTTCTGACCTGAGTTATTCGACAATAAACTGTAGTTGCTGCTATCCTTTGTCTTCTGATTCTACTCACCGTTAAGATTAGAATTATAACGGTTATCGAAGTGAACTATCATCGAAGCACGGCACTACAGGACGACTCTGAATCATAATAGGGCAATTGATGTTAATCTTTACTTAATTGATTGAGTATTAGAACATGCATTTGTGGAATTTACTATCCATATCCTAATTAATTTTGAATGATAGGTGAAATTTAAAATCTCTTTCTTTCAATTACAATTTGTAGATAAATATCAATAATTTTATTCTAAATCCCCTAGTTTCAGTCACATTATATATTTGTATAAGTGCCAAAATCCACCAATAATTCACAAACAAGATAAATTGACTTCAGTTTAGTTTGTTTATACATGCCTCATATAAGATGCGACATACTTGTACGTGCTCACCTATTTTGGTAAATGTTTAAAACTAGTCAAGATATTCATGTGTCTGGTTAATTGTTTGTACACTAATGGTGAGGCGATAGAAGAGATTGATCTATGCTTATTGAAGATACATTTATCTTGTGTGCGATATCTTCAGAACTTTTATTACGTGTATTTAGATTTATTAACACATGAATACAATCTGTCAGTGAATGCTTTTTTAATAAATCCTTATAAAACCAGTCCTCTCTCAAGTTGAGGATCTTTGGCTATTCTGTGTTAGATCATTGTCAGCACTAAAGTATTGCTCACTTCCAGACCTAATTTGATATGTTGATTAAAATAAATACATACCTTATTTTTTTAAAAACATTAAACGAATTTTAAAAATACCGTCTATTTATATTCTACTTAAAGAGCTTTCAAATAGATAAGCCAATTCACCACTGGGATACTTTCAATTGCTTTAATTATAAATTCTGTTTATATATAACACTGATGTATAATAATTGATGGATACAGAAAAATGTCAGTATGGAATATAACGAATCACTTATTGTTAAATGAATGGAGATAAACAATATAAACCATTGAACTTAAGTCTTAAGCATTCCTGAAGAAGTTGATATACCTTGTAGTGTGGTCTACTTATATCTATATAAGTAGTATATGGTGATGGTCAGACATAGGATGTATTTTGGCAGAAAACCGATGAGGAAACAACTGAAATGAAGCGCAATTGATAGGACAATGCATAAACAATAGAATTAGAGAAGATGAACTGATATTTACATAAGGAACAGTGAAAATTGAGACAATTGATTGTTAATTTACAAATTAACTCTTTGTTTTATGGTTATCAGAATTTAGTCAGATAGTCTGTAATTTCTGCTTAAATACATTTGGTTGTCCCCAGTCGTATTCTTGTTCACTACATCCTTACAAATCCTAGTTAGCTAGCTCAAAGTCTTAAATAATGAAACAATAATTACCACTTTAATATCGATGTCCTACAAGAGATGAATAAAAGTTCAAATATCTCAGCAAAATGAATTATATGTCTCATAATGAATGACGCTTACACAAATTCTTTACAGAGCACCAATCCATTAGATATTGAAAATGTGTTTCATTAACTTCTACTATAAGACAGTATGTCTAGTTTCAAAACGTCTTGTCCTATCACTTTAAGCCATAAAACATAAAACAAAACATACCATGATAGAAAGTTTCTTAATCTAATGACAACATTTCAACATAATCAATGGCAACTAATCAAAATCTATAATGAAACACTTTACTGATTAAGATGAAGCAAGATACTAATAGTATTGTAGTTGTGAGTAAATACAATGTTTTGTAATATCAAAGCAAAATATTGACCAGATTACTCTCAATTCCGTTTATTCAAAAGCTTTCATTCAATAAAACAGTATAACCATATTATTTAAGCAAAAGTGGATAATGACTAGCAGTGGAATCCAGTTTGACAAGCGTTTTGTTTGATTTGCTACAGATCAGCTAGATGTACGTACATTACACAGTTGATGTTAACTTCAAGACTCGAACCCAGTACCTTTCACTTTAAACGCCATCACGTTATCCACTCAGTTACTGAGTCCTGATAGCCACTTGCTTGTGCAATGGGGTGAAGTTATATTCACTTGGTGTTGTTTACCTGTATTTTCTCATTGTTATTTAGGGCTGTAATTGATCAGTATCTTATTGGCTTATGTGCATCCTGTGCGGACTGCCTCGATAT